AATTTGCAACCAATATTACAATGAGGACATAAATGAACCAAACTTACAAAATTAGGCCTCTACAAAAATCTGCGTATTATTATACTTGAAGAATTCCAAGAAAAAAAAAAACTTTAAGACATGTTCTGCATGCTCCTTCAGAACAAGGTCATGTAACATTTGACTTGATACAAAGATGTATTAACCTGGCATTTTCAGGAGAGCAATGAACTGCCCAAGAGGGGACTCATGAGGAAGCCATAAGCACTATTGTCAGTGTTTTCTATGACCTGTATCTGTACCTTAAATTCATGTTTTAGATGAAGTGTAACAGTGTCTGTCCGTCTCAAACACTTACTTTAAAAAAGTATTAGTCTAGGTACCACATAATCTCTTAGCAATAAATATTATACTGTTAAGTTTTAACTTTGGGGTATTTGGAAAATATTTAAAAGTGGCTTGATGTATAATGGTTAAAGTAATAGAGTTACGTCAAAAAAAATATTACATGACAGACTCTTTTTCATTAGGTCTGGCCTCAACTCCACGTTTCTCAATGAGAGGCGAGTGCTCCGGAGCAGTTTCTGCCTGGCCCACCCGGACCTCACTTAGGGCCTCTCCTCCACCTTTGGACGTGCGGTCGACAAAGTGCTGCAAAAGGCCAGCTCCAAAGGCATCTCCCTCCACATTCAGCACCGTGCAGGTACGATCACTTAAGGAACACACACAAGGGTAATATTAGTCAGGTATACTGAAGCCCTTTTTATCTTTAACATCATTATCATTTCATTACTGTAAACTGAAAAACTTACACAATCCAATCAACGGCAAGAATCAGGGAGATGTCATTTGTGGGCAGTCCTATTGCCTCAAGGATAATAGCTAGAGTCAGAACTCCTCCAGCAGGTATACCCGCTGCTCCCACACTTGAAGCTGTGGCAGTTACTCTGTCAGCAGCAAAGAAATGTGTCACTATAAAAAATAGAACAGCTAAATATTTCTTTGCTGAGTGTTTTGTGCTTACAGAATGGTGATGATTTGGATGAAGTTTAAAGACTGGTTATTGAGCTGAGCAATGAATACTGCAGCCACACACTGGAAGAGAGCCGCTCCATCCATGTTTACAGTTGCTCCAATGGGCAAAATAAATCTGCTGATATGCTTGGATACTCCATTTTTCTCTTCTACACACTTCATCATTAACGGCAAAGTGGCAGAGCTGCCAGAAAAAGAATGAATGTTTGATTAAGACCTTACATTGTAACAAAATGAGTACATCAGGTTCTGCCTTAAAATAAGAGTTAACTCACCTGGAGCTTGTACCAAAAGCTGTTGCCAGAGCTGTGAATATACCCCAGAGGAAGGTGTATGGGTTTTTCCTGGTAATGATGAAGTAAATTGCTGGGAGCACAAGAGCACCATGGATGGCATGGCCAATAATACAGCAGGCTATATATTTGCCCAAGCTGGCGAACAGTTCTCCGACATTTTCCATCTCTACAATTTTACCAGCCACAAGGAACATGATACCAATAGGGGCATACCTGTAAAAAGGTTGGGAGAAATAAAAAATATTTTTTTAAAAAGCATAAAAGAAAAGAAAGGATTTTTTTTTTTTTTTGACAACAACAATCTTGATAATATTTTTGCTACATATATATATATATTTTTTTTTTTATTGTTGAAAATGATCTTGTCGGCAATTGTGTACCACCAATGTATATATCACAAATTTGAAATAAAAAATATATATATTCAAATATTTACCACATAATCCAGGAAACCAGCACCATGGTGGCCTCATTGAACGAGTTAAAGAACTTAATCAGAATCTCTCCTTCGTCTCCGAGTTTTCTTAGTGCCACACCAAACACAATGGCAAACACTACCAGACCCAGAATATTCATGCCATCCTGGTCTGTCCCAATGGGAACCTGAACACACGCAAACAATACACACATTAGGTCATTATGAACCAATACAATATTTCCATGTAATTTTGAGTTGTTTACCTTTTCCCTTGTGATGTTAGAATTTGGATCTGTACCGTTTATCTTGATCCACTTATAGCCAGTGGCATACTATAAAGAAATCACCATCTTAATACAAGTTACATATAAAAAAGGAAATTAAACATTTCATTGTAAGCCTTACCGACTGAAAGGCAGCAGACACCAAATTGGATGGAAAGATGTTCCTGCAGGCAGACAAAAGACAAAACATTTAACAAAAATTGAAAAGTCACTTCAACTTTTTAAGTGAAACTCATGGACAGCTCATTAAAGGTAAAATCACAAGGATGATCATGTGGAAAATGCTAAGAGTTTACCCAATAATCCCATTTCCCTCCCAACCTTTGTACTGGGTCAATCTCTACTAAAAAGGTACAATCATTTATTTATGTTCATACAAAGGTAAACCCAAGTGTCCCCATTACCCCAGACTGTCTGAATTGGATTTAGAATAATAAGGCATTAACGCCAAAAGCTCCCTTTTCTGCTCTTTCACTCAGTTCCACTGCAAAACACACTGCATTAGGATTAAGAATCATGTGACTCTGGTACTAGATCACTGACACACTTCTGACTCAAAGGCCTAAATGTAGGACTGTGGGTTGTGGCTCATTACATTACATTACATTACATTAAAAGAACATTTTCTGTTGAAGGGGTTTCAGAACACTAACTCTTGCATGTATTTAAGGCATCCTGTACAAAGAACCAAATACCAGTGGCCCTGTAATTTTCTTTTATCTTTATTATTAAAATTTGCTAATTTAATTGTTTTTATTTTATTTACACCAACTGGTAAAGCAGATTATTTTATTTTACTTTCTGTCTCTAATACCATGAATATGTTAATCTGATAAATACATCTGACTTTCTGTCAGACACAGGCAATAAAACCACTACTGAGTTCTTCATTTTCTCCATTTCACATGGATAAGGAAAGTCAGAATGATAAGAGGGACCGGTTATCATATGTTTTTGATTACAGTTCTTTGTTGTGTCCATGTGCTGACAGGAATATTAAATAAAACAAAAACAGCTCAGCGTTCTGTAGTAAACAAAGCATCGTGCTCATTTCATGGTGCCTAATTGCGGACGCAGGTTAATGCACTTGCCATGTGCTTAGCATGAGACAGTCATTATGCTCCTGCCATCCCTTATTTGCAGCTGACACTAATGAAGACACAATATACTCATGTTACTACTCACAACAATGTGATAGACATTACAGCACAATGTTAATTCAAGTACAAATAATATTCAGATACCCATCCCAATACATGATATTGGCACTTTTTGACATATCAGAGATTAGTCACTCCAACATAAATCAGTATTTAATCTGGGCTAACAATGGCACTAAAGGCTATAACTGAAGCTTTGCTTAAGGGCTGTGCAATTAATCAAATTTTAATCAAGATCAAGTTTTAGTTATCACTAATTGTCAATTATATTTTTGTCTCTTTTGAAATTGAATGGTATTTTTTGTGGTAAATGGCAATAATTATATATCTGTATTGTTTATGCTCATGGAAGTTATATTGAAAACTATTTTATTTGTTTTTATCAAGACTAAAATAAAATGGAAGCCAAATTTTTGACTGATGAATCAAGAGGCACGTTCTCAGGTGAGCCTCAAAATATCTCTGAAATTTAAAACTTTTGTTCTCTAGGGGCATCGGCCATGAAAGAAAAAAAAAACCAAAACGTCGATTTCTACAGAATAAAGTGCTCTTCAGCTAATAGCACATGCACTTAGGTTATACGACTGTAGACCTTTTCCATTCAAGCAGCTGCCTATATCCAAGACAAGGTATATTCAGAAAAGAAAACGTTTCAACAAAGTAAAACGTGAGTTAATACAAAAGTGGAAGGAGAGTGGATGCCTCATCACAGACTACTAATAAGTAACTCAACAGCTTCTTTTTGTGTTATGGATGCCACGTGGGTTCTGGGACATGATGTCTTCACTCGGCACGTTAGACGTATCCATATACATGTTATATACGAATACGTGTTTTAAAGCATGTCTTTAGCCAGTCTGAAAGGAAATCTGTATATCTCTGAACAATACTAATGTCTGATTATTGGCACCCACGTTTTCAAGTCTTCTCAAAGTTTATACAAACCAAAAATTTGTTATTTGTTCATTGAGGCAATATGGACCCGTAGTCCAGGAACTAAGACATACAAGGGAGAAGGCGGGGACATGACGCAATGACCTATTGCCATTACAGCAGAAGTGCCAACAAACCAACAGTTGTTACCTTGTAAGTCACATACGTATAACATTAAAGAGATTTTAAATTAATTTAAGTGTTAAATGAGAATAACTCAAATGTGGTGATGGATCACGTCAATTGCCACGTCCATGTCCAGTGCTGGATGTCTACAGCTCAGCGATGTAGGGTGAGCTCACCTGATCAGGTCCAAGAAAGAGTCAATAACTTCTTTAGCCTGAGGTACTCCTTCGTCCAGTCCTGCTATTGTTGGTTTAGCCCCAGTTACCGCTCCTGGAGTTATGATGAAAGCCATGATCACTCCGATGGACGACGCGATTAACGTCGTAATGAGGAAAAAGAGCATAGCCCAGCCGCCGAGCTTGCCCAAGGCTTTGGGGTCAATACTGGCCGCCCCGGACACCAAACTGCACACCACCAGGGGTATGATGATCATCTTGAGCAGCCGAATAAGCAGCTCACCGGGGAAACCTATGTAAATTATTTGCGTCTTGGTTAGATGAATTTCGCGTACCCCCAGTCCAATGATGACCCCAATGATGACCCCCGCCACGGTGAGGATTGACTAGCATGTTGGCCTTCACTATCCTCTTGACCCGCTCTGATAGGGGCTCTTTGCCGCTCTTCCTGTGCGTGTCCAGTCCATTCACCACGGGCTCGTCGAGGTGCGCTTCCCCGTTGGACGCCTTGGTCTCCTCCATGTCTATCTTTTCAGCCATAATTTTAGCCTTAAGTTGTTAAAAGTGTTTTCAATCAAAGTTATTGTTAGCGTGATACTTGAAAGACAACTGAGTGCCTGCTCCAACGAGACGTAAAGGATTTTACTTCAGCGTGCGCATTGCCCTTATCTAGCTTTCCTGGTAGGCTGCCCCCACCATGTGACGTGAGTGGGCGTGGACAAGTTGACTAGACAAACCCAAATACACCGGCACAGGGCCCATCGTGTTCAAATAGAGGAAAAAGAAATGATGAAAGGCTACAATTTTCTATACAAAAAACTCTAGAAAGGGACCCAAACCTAGACTAAATATTTAAGAGGTTAAAGGACTATTTTATAAGTTTGTTTATATATAGGCCTACTAAACCTATCTATGAAAATTGTTCTACAAAAGCCTATAGGCCTAATAGCACACTTAAAACATTTTAGGATTCAGTTGTGGTTATCTCTGTAATATGGTTCATCTGGTTTGGTAATGGGAGGCTAAGTAATTCCCAGCTGTGACTGGTGTCTTTGAAATGGTCTCCCACTTCTGCGTTTATTTATCCTTCTCTGAACTTGGCTTAAACAATGTATATAGTATACATTGCTCCAGTTATAACATCAAAAGCTCTCCAGGATGACCACCTGCTGGCCCTAAGATAATATTCATTTAACATCTGGCATGAACAAAACTTTGTAGAGCATCCTTAATATATGTATTATATCTTTAGTTTAAATATTTTATAGTTTTATCTTTTTTCTAAGACTTTTTTATAACTAAAGGGACCTGCAAAAATGTTTGTCTTAAGGAGAGATTTTGAAATGCTAAACAATGCCATTTTATAGCCTAATGTGTAGTGTACTGCCATTTGGACAGTTGTAACTGGAGACATTTTCTTTGTGTGTGGACTGAGGGCCACAGTCTGATGGTTATAAAGTTTGTTCAAAGTGCTCTGAAAGACTCGGCTTATCTTACTTCCAACAACAACCCCTGGTCTTTTCACTGCGGCTCCACTGGTGGAGGCTTGTGGGAATAGCACTTGCAACACCAGTCAAGACCCAAAGGACCAGAGCTCAGGTCGACTACAGGCTGTCCTCTCTGCTGCTATGGTTTGTTGTCTCAAGCTCGGCCTTTGTTTCTGACTGTTGGAATGGTTGGAGAAATCACTCTGGTTGTGCGGAATAGTGTGCCGCTCTGTCAGAGAGGTCAGCTTCTATGGCTAAATCCACACGCTCATGAGAACTGAGAGAATTTTTCTAGAGCTGGCCCCAACTATAACAACACAAAGATATACACTCACAGCACACAACGTTTATGCCATTATTTAACAAATGTGATTTGACAGGAGGTCACACACTCAAAGCACCTAAGCCAAACCTATACTTTGAGTCGGCCTCTAGTTTGGTTGAAAGTATTTTGACATTCAAGATGGATGTTTGGGGAAAAAAGTAAAAAACATGTTCAGTATGCCTTTCCTACAGATTCCACTTCTGGGTGTATATTATATAAACATTTCATAAATACTTATTTATCAATGGAATTTTTCTGTAATTATACATAACACACACAGTTCATCTTTGTAATATGAGAGGAGCTGTGAGATCTTCTTCAAAGTAGGCCATAGAAACAAACCTAGACAAAGCTCACCTGTCTCGAGTATCAGCAACAGGTGAGAAAGAAGCTTTATGAACTTGTTATCAAATTATAAAGAGGCAAATAAAGCATAATGTTCCAGGCACAATTGTGTTCTCCAGCATGATTAAGGGTTCAGCATCACCATGACACAGCACTTTAAAAGCTCAGGCATGTATTGAGGTGGGAGGAGTTTTTCCTGCTTGAGAGCCTGGATAACGATTTCAAGGTAATGTTCTGTTTGTTTCTTACATGTCTATTATTTCCCTTCTTTAGTCGACAAACACAAATGAAAGCAAACATAAGTTGTCTCTTCTAAATCCTGCAGATCTCACTAGAGCCTTATGTAACCAGAGGGGGCCCTCCAAAAATATTTTACACATTTACACAGTGTAATCACTGCCAGCCCCAAGAACCGCTATTCCAGTCATGCCTTCTCCCCGCTCCATGGTGTGCTGTAAAAGTTTACAGCTTCCGGAGCTAAATATGCTCTGGAAAATTAATGAATTCATGGGAATTTAAGCCTATGAATGTGAAATGATATATAGAAATGTCTCTGGTTTGAAGTTTTCAGTTTTATCATATAAGTATGCACACCATAATTCTCTGTTGTGCTTACTTCCTCACATCACCTTGATGGCTGAGGTAACTATCTCAACCAACCACGTGAAACTCCTTTTAAATGCTTGCGTTGGACTACTGCCCGATAAACACCTTTCCTTAGAATGGAGCGCAATGCCCCTACCATTGTTGGAAGGTTATATTCAAAGCTTTTATGTAAGAAATGGTGGCAAAGTACTTGTCGCTACATACATAAATCAGCATGTCCTTTGTACTATCAGTTATTGAACCTACTGTTGTATTTCGTTGACAACACTGACTCTGTTATAAGTCCTCCTTCTTCCTCCTCCAACAGACTCCAGGCTATAGGGAGCCATTCTTCCCCTGCCTCCTCTCACATTTGGTCATCTGATCTCTGTGCAGTCTACGTGCAGAGGTCACTGCAGTCTGTTTAGTTCACACGCGGTGACAGTGATGGCACATTCTGTGTGTTTCACAACAAGGTGCTTCACATCAAAACATCACTGCGGTGTTGTGAGTAGACTGTTCACATTAAAATAATGAATGCGATGAAACAACGGCCTTCAAAAAATATGGCCATTCTCCAGTATTTCTCTCTAACTACAGTATGTTAGAATGTTTTGTTTGTTTTAGTTACATTAATACATTTTTGTTCTTTGTACACGTAATCTTAAACTGTAACATTGTACATCTTTTCACAGCAGACAAGAACACCCTTGCTTTGTCTTATATGAGCTGAAACTGAGGGTATACAGCCTGACATCAAATGATTAAGTAGTGTTTGAGCTGTTTGAGGCCTGTCATATCCTGGAGCATGCTACAGTGTTTACTTTGGCAGTGGGCAGACTGGCCTTGTAGCTCAGTGAGACTATACCTGTAATGACTGTCCACACTTCCTGCTGCTTGTGTTTGTATTGAAGGTGCAAGCCACCATCGTGTGGAGGTCAGAGAGCAGAAGACTAAAAACACTCAGAACACAGTCTTCTCACAACACATCTGTGGAACATTTAGGCCGGTACAAACCAGACTGTGATTCGCTGAGCTCAACACGCCCTGCTCCCAGCTACACCCTCTCCTTAGACCCTACGCTTTCACTCACAGTTACATGATACTTTATAACACTGAGGCACCAAGAGTTTTCTTTTCCTTTTCCTGTATAGGACATTTCCTATCATCTGCCCTTGGTTCTCCTTTTCTTTTGCACAAAGAAGGACTAAGGCGCAAACCACAGAGAATCCAGAAGACTTGTTTCTTTGTTACAAATAAAGACTCTAAATATGTTGTCATGTTTTATAAATAATCTGGATCACGTTAAGGATCTAAAGTTATACATTTACTTGTGACTGCCTCCACAGTGCCTGCTACACGTGCAGCCAGCACATGCTTTAACATGTCCTGGGCTATTTCTCCCCACCTACAGAGCTACACTAACTTCTCTCTGCAATACTCTTCTTCAAGGGCAGAGATTGCAAGCTTTTTAAAAATTCAGGATTAAATGTTATGATGCACTTAATTAATGAACAATCTCTGTTTTGTCTTGTTTTGTTTGTTTGTTTTTGTGCAGAAGCTGTGCTCATATCCAATGTGCAAAGTGGATATATTGCAGTTTATTCCTGGTCTTGTTTGGTGTCTGGCGGCAACTGGTTGAGTCAGGAATAGAGGGCATCTAAGTTGGAGAGTATTTATTTACTGAAGGCATATAAGAAAGTCATAGGTGTGACTGGCCTGCTGACTGTTCCCTTTTCATAGATAGCAGATCTCTGATAGGCTTTTTCGGGACCTTAACAACATGCGAAAACATCCAGGTATGTGATTGTATAGTTATTATTGTATACAGCCAAATACTTCACCATTTCATCATTTTATAAATCATCCTTTATTTATAGGTTGGCCTCTTAAGACCTAATGTCTCATTTCAAGTGTTACCTGTTGTCCATAAAACAGATAAAACAGTCACACTTTATGGTGTAGAATAAACTGAGTAAACACACTCCATGGACCTTTCTCAGAAAGATGTACTCTGTTGGTTTTTCAGGTGAGCCTGGTCTTATATTTGATTAGTTTCTCTCCATCCCCTGCATCTTTAATAAAGCAAGTCTTTTCTCATTGCTCTTTTAATACTCATGAAAATCCACTGCTTGCCTCTCTCATAAAGTCCCTTATCTCATAGGATGAGAGCCAAAGCTGCAACTTAATATTACAACACTGTACTGTTCATTTGCATCCTGCTTATACGTTACTCTTCCTTTTTGCCCTTTCTACCTTTACTCGCCTTGGCTCGATGTGAATGGCTCCACAGGGCAGCCTGTAATCATGTTACTAATACCTGCTGGCTCTGGCCTATAGTGGACAGCTTTGTTACAGGCAAGTTTTTGCTATCAATCAACCCTTTGCACTTCAAATTTTGTATTTATAGTAAGACTAGCTAATCTTATGTTATATATACTGGGCTTTGTCCCAGTTCCCTAAAGCTAATTTGCCTCAAAACTTGTACAGACATTACCTGTTCTGGTTAAAACCATAATGCCGTGTATTGGCACATGTCTTTTGGTGTCTATAACCATCCGCCCCCAGGCATTTAGCCAAAGATACATACCACACCCATAGACAATATGAATGCAATGGTACTTTTGACTATGGATACTTTCAATAGGCTATACACCCATTTAATTATGTTCTGGTATCAAGGCAGATTTAGTAGCTCTGTGTGGCATTGCATTCCTTTTCACTCTCAGATGGGAAATGTGCTGCTAGTGGTGGGCCCAATATAGTGCCAAGCAAAGGTTAGCCAAGGGGTCAGACAGTCTAAGCCTCCTGTGCAGGATGTGCCCCTAGGAGAGGTGCACAGTCACCACCAACCACCCCATCCCGTGAGAAAGGTCTAACACAGACAGATGGAAAGAGCAGATCTGCTCAGTCAACTGTCAGTAAAAGTGAACAGGCTTGTGCTAACCCAAAGTCAACACATCTTTAGATTATTAACATTTCTCAATAAAAGGGCATTGACTGAGTCAACACAATATCAGTATGGTCTGTTTGACATTACGGCATCTATATCATGCAAAACAGTCACTCTGGCATTGTGTCTAGTTAGTGGCCACATATTTTACCACACAAAAGACACAAAATGTTTCATCAAGATTAAATCATTTAAACAAATGCTACCAACCCATTTCTTTAAAAAAATAAAATAAAATTTCCCCCATTGCCTGCCTACACCTCCACGCAATAACTGAAAAGGCTGTATGATGTAATATGGCCTCAGTTTTTCTGTTGTAGGAAGTGGTTTCTTTTTAAGCTTGTCACTTGTCTATATTTAGACCACAGGTGTCAAACATAAGGCCCGGGGGCCGAATCCGGCCCTCCAAAACCTCTAATCTGGCCCTCGGTTGATTTTCTTCTAAAATATTTTAATTATATTTTCTATTAAAATATTGGTAATTTTCTGCATTGCTTAGCGTAGCAGCGTCTCCAGCGTCTCTGTGCGTGGCCCCTCCCACCAGAGCAGCACAAATGAAGACTTGTCTCTTTCCAAACGCTCTTAAAGGACGATCGTTTTGACTGTTGACCATGACACCCTTATCAGCAAAATGTCAAAAATGAGAAAAGTGGAGCCGAGTGCAGGATTTTCCAAGAAAAATTGACTTATTCCTATTTGCATACAAGTTATTGTTAAAATATTGAGTTGAAATTGTATTTTTCTTAAAGTTTCAGGTTGTTCATGATATTATAATATTTTTTTAAAGAAAGAGTTCATCAATTAAAAAAGATTTCTGTAATAGATTTGCATTTCTCTGCACAAATATTTGAACTTATTGCTATTTTTGAGTATATATACCATGAGTTTTCTGATCCGGCCCCTTTGGGATCAAAGTAGGTTGGATACGGCCCCTGGACCAAAATGAGTTTGCCACCCCTGATTTAGATGAAACAGTGAAGTAGAAGTGCTGTCATCATATAGCATTACACACGTGACTAATTATTTATTGTGTTGTGCGATCTGCTACTTTGAAGTATGTAAACACAATGTGCCAGAAGGAAGCGTGAGTTTTCCTCAAAGTAGTCTATAGACCCATCTACAACTGAAAATGCCTTAAGTTTAGCGATTCTGATGTTGGGGGCATCAGATTGTTTCTATGGTAACACAGTGACCTGAAGGTGCTTAGAGGTCATTCACAGGAGCCAAAAGCTATTGTTAAAAAAATCTATATATTGCTGTGTAGCTGCTAATTTTAAACAAATGCTGTGTTTAAAAAGTGTCACTGTTTGGAAAAAAAAGAAAGATGTAAGCCTACCGTGTATCACACTTTTTTCAGTATTTCAGCACTAACTTAATTATTTGCACACAAGTCTATGCAGTTTATAGACCAATCCTCTAAGGCCAAGGAGTGCCTGCATCTTCTAACAGGAAAAACCTGTACAGCTCAAAGGCGGCTGCCTCCAAATAAGTACAAGCGACCTGTTCTGAGCCGATGTGGGACGAGGAAAAGTGTTTATATTGAGAGAAAGCATGTGAGAACAAAACTGGCGTCATCGTTTGGAATGTGCTACTGTAGAAATGCAGAAGCCTATGTGTCCCGCTTACAGATCAAAGTGACCACAAGAAGCTGTGTTATAGGTCAAATACTGAAACCTAGTCACCTCTGCCCAGACATTACATTTCCTGAGAAGCAACAATAACACAGGAAATATGGATTTTACTGTCCAAGAGAATGCCAATGTGATATTTGATGTGTTTTATTATTAACATTTCTGGTCTTGTTTTGACTCTTTAAAGAAAAACATTGTCTTGAAATGTTTAATGAACAAAACTTCCCAATAGTTAATGGTTAACAGAAGAACCTTACAAATCAGACAAGGTTTTGAAAATGTGAAAGAAGATGACGCATAATGTTACATGAGAGAATGTTGGTAAATGTAAAACATGACTCGGTGACTCAGAGCACTGCCCCTGGGAGGATTTTTGTTTGTGGCCTGTAGGTCTACAGCTGTTTGATGTATGTGTACATAGTGGTTTTGTGTGTTTAAGTAAAGACCCTGCATATGGGAAGAAAATAAAGCAATTAACGAAACGGCCAGATGCACGTTTCAAGATATCACTTGTAAAAGGCATAAATCTACACGTGTCAAATTTTAGACCACTTGAAAAATAAAACTAAAGAAAAATCACTGGATCGACTGGAAGCCTATGTGTAGTCTAGCCTACTTTAGGCTGAGGAGGACTGTCCAACTCCCGTAAATTCCGATCGTCCTTAATGCTTCGATTCATCATTGGTCACAAAGGAAACCATTTACGTTCAACTGGTGGCATAATAGATGTTACAATGTGCTGCCATCTGGTGGAGAGACTGAGTATTGTATGTATGTATACAGTATTTAGGTATATGTATGTATGTACGTATGTATATTGCATATTATTATTACATATTAGTATTTTAAGTAGTTAAATCTAATGCACTGATAAATAAAAATAAACAAATAATGTATACATAGGCCTATATACAATCATAAAAAAATATTTACAATAACCTCGAAATGGCATGCAAATAGAAGAATGCTCTATCTACCCTAATGTTCTTTATCCCAATAGTTGCTAAGTTCAAAACGTGTTACTGGCCATAGTAGCAAAGGGAAGTTGTGCTTTTGATAGTAAAAAAAAAAACAACAACTTTATTGCCATTATTATTTAATCACATTACACAAACAAAACTAAAAAAAAAACTAAACTTGCCAAAATGCTATATTGAAGTCCAGTTGCCATTTACTTTATTCATAAGTTACCACAACCAAATGTAAAGACACACACAATATAGCTTAAAAACATTTTAATTAAATAACTTTTTTTTTTTTTTTTACATTTTCCATTTGTTCTCATTGTTTTAGTTTCTATTGCATTTGATTAGCCATAATGTCCACAGCAAAGCAATTAATTTAATCAAATTTTTCACATAAAGTGCTCTTTCAAAAAATAAAACAAAAGAACATTTACTCATTCAAAACAGTGCCCCCAGTTCACTTACTGGGACACTGGAATAATAAACATACTGTACATGTGCAAGGACCCATTCTACGCAGCAGCAAATGACCAAATGACCTGCTTATAAACAGAAGACTAGAAGGGGAAATTTTAGCCATTTTGAAAACTGTAATAGACTCCTTTAAAGCTGCAATATGTAACTTTTTCGTTGAGGGTCGTCACCTGCTTATTTTTATGGCTATGCCACTGCTCTGCCTGGAATGCTCCACAGTATAACATTAAACAGCTCTACCTTACATTTAATTTATCGCTCAAAAATACCTTGAAAAACAGGCATTCTTACTGTGAGCAATGTTGCCTCACGACAGATCTGACCTGCAACTTGGCCTGGTTTGTTCTACTTGGTGATAGAAAGGTTTAATGCCATACTGTGAAACATTCCAGTCAAAGCAATAACATCATCATGGAGAAAAAGCATTTGATGGGCCCTCCACCAGAAATGTTACACAAAGCACCTTTATATTGCAGGCTAACATGTTCACATAGATTGGGAGACATACAAGAACATATTAGGATCAGTCTTACATTCATTCAACATTGGCAAAAGGTCTAATGCACAATTTCATCACATGGGCAACTCACTTCTTATGTCTCAGTCTATTAGAGAACACAGCCTTTAAGGGGTCAATAAACTGATAACACTGAACCTTAAATGTCACTGTCCATGCTTTGTCTTTTGGAGAGATTAAAGAAGCGTGGAGCACATATATTCTCCTAATATATAATTGGAGGTGCAAAGATTCAGTGTCTACCAGTCCCTGTATGTTTAACAAGTACCATAAGGCATTTTGTGCTTCTCTGTCAGACCAGAGATTAGAGTGCCTCAAGTGGAGATAGGGGACATTTAGACAAAACCCTGTTATTATGTGTGATTTTTTTATGTCCCTTTTGTTATAGTGCATTCTCTTTATTACTACAGACCACACAGGTCAATCCACAGATTTATCAAAACATAAATTTTAAAAAATCAAGTGTTTATAGTCTTTCATTCAACGTAACATCTTGCAAAGAATAATTTGTGGTTATATTTTAAACTGAATACGTTTCTATGCCATTCGATTCCATTATCCAAAGGTCCATCCATGGGTCTGTGTTCTTTTCTGCTTTCTGCTCAGCATGCAGTGCTCACTGACAGTCAAACACAACTTCTGTTTAGGCTCAAAACATCAAATTACTATTGGTGAAGGCACATAATGCTTCTTGATCAATCCCCAGTGGTTACAGGAGACTTATGTCCTACTGTTTTGAGTGACAGGCACTTGAACGCCTTTCTGTCCCGTTGCTATGGACACAAGGATAAGTATATTAGTTTTATACACATATAAACAAAGACAGGTAATTCAGTGGTTTCATTAAAGTGGAAAAGACATCATATAAAACCAAACACAAAACACATACCCAGTCTGTACTTCTCTTTAGCCTCTGCTCTTTCTTTTGCATCAAAGTACCAGACTGTAATGGCATATCTGCAAGGGGAAAAAAATACAAGTTATGATTACTAAGAATAAGTGTAATAATATAATATAGTTGTATATTTGTATTTTGTCAAGTAATATAAAGCGAATGGATAAGAGACGTCATGTATATATTTTTCTTAATTAAGAAAAATTAGATTCACTTTAAAGAGAACCACACAGCAGTTTTTGGAGACTCCATTTTTGAATTATTTTTAGGGACTACAAACACTGACTAATTTTATATGTGCATTTGTTTAGTTTAATAATAATAATAATAATAATAATTATTATTATTATTATTATTTCAATACTTCTGTTTCTGCCCTTGCATTGCTTCTTTTTGTTTGTTTGTTTGTTTATTTGTAGTATTTCATAATTTTTATAATACAATAATAATACAATTGTACATTTGTCATCTAGGATTATTCATTCTTGGAAGTGATGTTGGGTTTGACATATGATTGATGTAAAGCTAAGTCTTGCTGGCCAGATGTACTTGTACATTTTTACACATTTATTTGCAGGGAAAAAAATTAGATTAATAACATAGCGTGATATAGAGTGTAGCAGCAAATGACAGCAGAGGGTTAACTCTAACTACAGTCTGCCTTTTCTCCTGTGGGGCTGTGGTGTTTATTCCTGTCTCTCATGTCGGAGTCTCTCCAACACGGGACATGCAATCGAACCTTCCCTTCCACCTAACCCATCAGGAAACGCATACTTCCTGTCTTCAACCCCACCTCTCCCCCCCAGCAGTTTCACAGACACCAGCATAATGCATCGTACTGTACTTTTCATGTGGTATTGCTGGGTTTCTGATGACCTCACAGCATTTTATAGGCCAACATTAATTAATACAGGCAGGGGCAGTTAAAATGAATATTGTCAAAATGTTGAATTATGTTGTAATACAGTGAGTTCTTGGGTTTAGTCAATAATTGAAAATACCAAGTTCAACATTTGTGACTTTACCTTTTGTAAATTTCATGGTAAATTACAATATAATTAATAGGGAAATCTGAAAACTACCAATATCTTCCCCATAATGCCTCATAATCCAATCAAACAGGCACAAGAGTTTTACATCTAGAAGAGCATCTGATCTAAACCCAGACAAATCAATATGGTGGTAAATAGAAATAACCAAAAGGAAAGAAGAGCTATTGCTATTACAGACCGAGTGGCGAAGGCGGGTTTAACTTCATGTGGGTTTCTGCGGTCAGACCAGAAGATCAACAAACGGTCAAACACAGGTTCAATATTAGCGACAACGTTTTTGCCATCAGGAAAAATCTGAAGCATTCCTCCATGTTTCTATGATACAAAAGGAACATACAACATACAATTTTATTCATTCTCAATATTAATCAAAAGGGAACTATCCTGATTAACATACCGTGACATCCCAGTTCTTGTTAAGATAGTAGATACATGTAATGCACCGTCCGTCACGATTTGGGTTATCAACATGGCGGACATAACCCGCACCGTTTCCTGGGTAACAAGCCACCATTGCCTGAAATCAAAAATGGAAAAAAAAAAGTTATTAGTGTTAATAGCCCATAGCCCATGCAATAAGACCAAATATGTCATATCTTGCAATATGTTTGAGAGGCGACAAAAATAGCGATGTCAGAGCTGAATTGTTTGCCACTAAATCATTATGTGGAACACGTGTCCATCTTAAAAACAATGGTGTGACTTTGGTATTTCCCCTGCCTGACGCTAATGTGTGAGGCTGGAGGGAGGGTGCTCTTTATGTGGCCAACGCGACCTGAGACCTGCGTGCAAACTCTACAGCGGGTGTACATTCCACAGCAGGGCCACTGCAGCACCGCTTGACTTTAATGTACCAAAACTTCACTAAGGTCAAGGAGGCTCCAAGTTTAGTCCTTTGTTTTAAGTTCTTTGAGAAGGCAGCTACACTGTTTTCAACAAGACAGGAAGACATTTTGCCAGAAAAATGCCAGAAAATGCAACGTGATAATTGGCTGCCAGTTCCTGAAAAAAAAAATACTACCATGGTTTAAAGTGTGTTTTGTTCCTGTTATAGTCAGTGAATGACCTTCGCTCCACGATATTATCAGTCATAATAGATCTGCAGTTGTACTATTGATTTAACATGCCTGACGCTATCATTGTAACTGTAGTAGACTGACACAAACTATAAGGAAATTCTGGAGTCAAGAAAGGATCCATTTTCTCTAGCACTGTTTGTATCAAGAGCAGAGAACAGCATCATGACCAGCTCATCTTATTAACCTTCAGGGCCCCTCTTACAAAGGCATTTTAGTGGGACTAAAAAAAGGTTGAGTCAGTTGTGTTTCTAAGTCAAGTAATGATTTAAAAAGATGTGTGGTAACAAAAAAGAAAGCACAAAAGCCCATTTCATTTGTATAAAACAAATCAACTTTACTGAGACTTTCATGCAAAAATGTTGTTTGAGAGGAGAAATCTAAAACAGTTGTCACAGTTTTATAGAAGAGTAGCATGGCTAGCATGGCTCTGGGTTAACCTGTGCATAATGGTATTGCTCAGGTGTGGGGCATTTGGGGACATCCTGCATACAGGCCGATGCCAACTCAACATCTTAAAATCGCTCACAATGCAGAAAGACTCAGAATGACAACAAAATGCAAAATTATTATCACTTTCTTGCTTCACTAAGAAAGTTACAAGTCCTTTTGTTTGTTTGCGCTGCTTCAGTTGCCTCCAACACAAAAGACAGTTTTGTACCATACTATTTTTTTTAAACAAAGCAAGTCAGAGGATCAATAGACAACTTGAGAATTGAACAATGTTATACACATCCCACATTTAAGATAACAGTCTTTAACTGCTGATTAACATCCGAAATGACTTTGTCCTAAGGTACCATGGCCAGTAATGTGTCTTAATGAGCAGACAGATTTGATAGAAGGTACTAGGATATGTGGTCCCTAATATGGACATTTCACTTCAGAAGATGATTATGAGAAGAAAGTAAATATATTACAAATGCATGTTCAGACAAAATTGTTGTGTCCAAATATTACAAAGAGGACAAGCCGAATGTGCCCAAATTCCAAGCAAACTTACCACAAGCTACATTTATACATTGTATTGTGAAATGTTAACTGTATGATTGGAAAAAGAGGCCACATTAGGAAAGCAGAGGGAGACAAGACAACAGATTAATGATTCACTATGCTGATACTGAGACAGATATCTGTCTGTAGCACATGCATTAAAGTCAATACTCTACATTTTAACTGCAACAAACTCAACATAAACTGCACTGCTAAAATAACTTAAAGTAACCGGCATTACTAAAGGACCTTTTCAGGCCAGCCTCACAAGCTTTCTTCAGTACTTTCAGTGGGTAGCATGCGCCTGAAGAAAGTAAACATAAACATGTGGATACAAAGCCTGCGTGTGTTTGCATGGCTGAGGAAGGTGAAGATAAAGTTCTCATCAAAGGCAAAAATTTTGTGATGGTAAGACAGATACTTGGTAACAGTGGTATGTGGCCAGACCCAGGCAAACATAGACAGGCTTAAACGTGGGAAAACAAGGCCACTATGAGGACAACCTGCAGTACTGCTTATTCAGCTCTCTTGTACTTCTAATAGCAGCTCTTTCTGACATCTGTGACAAACTGTTGCGTGAACCTGTATTTTATGCAATACATTCATCTGTAATTGAAATCTCAGGGCAACCCCACAAAATGATCTTTAAAATGACAGTATCACATATAACATTTCTTAAAATTGAAGTTGTTCTCCTCACCTTGGTGCGGCCATTGATGACACAGTCGCCAAGCTGCCCAGTGGCAGCACTGTACATGATGGCCTCATCAATACGAGCCATCAGTGTGGCGATGTTTTCACAGCCTGGCTCACAGCCCTCGACCCAGGCTATCTGGTCCCCTCGGATGCTCCTAGATGGGATTCCCTTTTGGCTTACTAGTTGGCCTCCTCGAAATTTCCCACTCTGGTCTAACACCTCTACCTCCTCAAATATTCTATCACCAAGGTGTGGGCCTAAGAAGTGGTCCTTAACACAGATTCCATAGTACCTCATGCAGGGAACAATTAACTGCTGGGCCAAGCGTTCAGCTGACCAGACAGAAGCTGCAGGGGAAGAAGGGGCAGGGATACTGCTGATGTGAACTATGGGCTGATCTGAAGAGACACTCTGTTCATTTTGCTGGTTATTGTGAAGAATGAAGGGCATAGCACAGTGTACAGACTTATGAGCAGCATTTCCATCTAACAACCTTCTCCTCTTAATGTCCCCTGAGTCTCCTAAAGAATATACTAGGTCCACCGTGCTACCTAACCCTCCAGAACCAACAGGTCCATTAAGACTTTCTGGACCCACTTCTCTTTTCTCTCCACCCCTGCTGCGCTTCTGTTGTAGTTGTCTGCTTCTAATATCACTATTAATCCTTCGGATGAAATGGCTGTTTTCTTGACCTGTCCTTTCCCCACTCTCTTCAAAGCAGACCCTGCTGCCCAGGGGGTACACAGAGTCGGTGGACGTCCCATGGCACTGAGCTGGATAACAGTTTGGAGTTTGAGCCTTAACGCCTGCGTGGCTGCCCTCCACTGTGGCAGATGGAGAAATCACACCGCCGTTGTAAAGTGGTACCCCAGTTTTTACCCGCTTTGTTGGGGTTGTGATTCCAGGAGACTCGGTCTGAGAGGCGAGACCCACGAGTAGCTCAGCAGCTGTGGGGCTCCCAGCGGGTGCTGCGCAAAATCCGTTCAGTCCCATATCCGCCCGGTACGTGTGGTAAATGCCTAATTGGCCAGAGGTAACTTGCTGTCCGGTTCTGTCTTGTGCGGGTGGCAAAGTGACTGATCCGCGACAAGAGCTTGGGCTTAAAAGGTCCGTATGTCCCAAGCTCTCCATTTCATCTCGTCATCGGCTGGATGCGCACGTAGCCCACGTCCTCCCTTCATTTTCTAGAGCAACTGCTTTCACTGAAAGAAAGCTCTGGTATAAAAACTATAAGTTTCATGACCACGTTTTGCGTTCTTGTAGCGTTTTCTCCACTTATTTGCACCATTTGCATAGCATAAGCAATGGCATTTTAATTAGGAACCTAAGGGGAAAAAGTACAGTCAGAATATAGGCTACTTTAGGCACGGGATTTGCTAAGATTTAGCACAGCTGATTTTATGTATACACACAATCAAGAAAAGCAGTAGGCTAATACAGTTGTTATAAACCTGAAGAAGACTATATGCAGCTATAGGAATGAAACTTACGTAGACTGTTGTGATTAGCACAGCACTATCATTTTTCACAATACAGTTTAGGTTTTGTGTCACATTGTAAGGACACATACACACAAGGAATTTAATTCCAGGTCATTCCAGCTATAAGATAATTTCTCTAAATCCTGAGGAGTGTTATGTTAAATACAGTTAAATGTGTTTGAGGGCATAAACAAAAAACTACTAAGTGCTGCCCAGTTGACTGTAAAACAGTTCTTACCTACTCCAGCCAACAGCAATGCAAATCCTCCGTGAGCGTACGTGACAGGCTGCGAGTAGGCTACACGCTATTTCCGGGATACTTCTGCACGCGTGCCTTACTCATCCAATGAAAGTAAATGGAAGTAATAAATAGACGATCGCAGATATTAACGGCGACAAAAGCAAAGCAATCCAACTGTGGGGGCACATGAGGATCTCATATACACTGCGCAGTTATTTCAGATGGGGGTAGGTTGCCTCACTTGCTCTCCATCCTCCTCCTCAACCGCGCCTCCGACACCCCCTCCAGTTACCGGCTGCTTGATCGCACCAAAGGGCGCCCACCCTCCGGCCACGTGACCACCACCACCGCCCAGTCATGAGCTCAGCAAACGACTTTAGGATTAGTAGCCTACATACCCTACAGTGATTCTATAGGCATATAACATTTAGTCGGATAGGCAGTGTCTTGTAAATGCCCATAGCCTCCAGAATTTACTCACCAAGCTGCAGAGGCTACACTAGCACTGAGTAATGATTGGCTGGAGGGTTTAGGTAGTGAATCAGAGACTTTTAGGTTTAAAACTGGATTGGAACAGGCAACCCAGTTCCTAGTAGCCTATTCATGCCTGTGTGATAAATGTTTGAATTTGCCAGTTTTGTTACATCACAGGTAACTGCACAATCCTGGAGTTTTAAAATTTAGCATGAAATATTTAGTTAAATAAATAAATTAAATTAAATATATCCCTAGTTAGGTGGGCTTTTTACCCTAAATACAGTAAGAAGGCTTAAACCTTCTAAAGACAAATTGAGATTAAAGTAACTTTACGTGGTTAAAGTTACCCTACACAAGTGAATTTGGGCAAATTGTCTTATAGGCCTAATGTACATCTGCTTCACAACATGGAAGCCGCGCTGTAGTGGAAGAGTTACTTAATAAAAACTAAACTTGACTACCTGTATTTAAAAATGCACGTTTCTATAAGAGTTGTGCTGTCTCTAGCTTTTTGTTTGCTCAAGCTATGAAATGAATGTGCTAAAATAAACCCCTCCGCTATTTTAGGCAGGTCTCAAAGTAAAAGAAATAAGCTATTTTAACTTTTCAGTTAAAAAATATCGGCCTAGTGTAGCAGAGTAAAAACAAATAGGCCCTCTCAAATGCTGCTCTCAAATGCAGTGAAGTAAAAGTATTCATTTAAAAATTTAAAAAGTAAAGAAGCCTACAGATACCTAAAAATTGTTGGCCTACGGTACTTTTACTTTTGTACTTGGCGCACTGAAGACGCGATGACACGTTACCATAGTCTTTGTAGGTTACTGATTTCTGCACCAGATTAATAGAAAGAAACCCATATTGCAATGGCTCCATCGTGTGGTTGAATTAATGTCATTGCATGTTCCTTTGGGTTTCTTATTTTACGTGTTTTCCAAAACACTTCCAGACACTTCGAATAATGTCGTGTGTGAGCGTGTGTTGATTGTCAGATGAGCCGATGGCGCAGATTGGCAGGCTCTATCCCCAGAGCAACTGATCTTTTATTGTTATTATTATTATTATTATTATTATTACTATTACTATTATTATTATTATTATTATTATTATTATTATTATTATTATTATTATTATTATTATTATTATTATTATTATTATTATTATTATTATTATCTGGTCCTGTCGCTTGAGGGCGCTGTTGGATTTGTTAAAGAAACACACTTTTCCGGGTTGTCGTTGACGCAGAATGTCAAAGTTCACAGGGTAGACAGAGGTCGTGTTATGCTTGTAGCCTAAAACTTGTATTAGCGGCATCACAGTAATGTAATGGCTCTTTTAGGTTTCTTCATGAGGAGGCAGTTGCCACAGGCTCTGTCACACTTTGTCCGCGCTGTAAGGCTACCTCGGGCCCCGGCCACAGTCTCCGCCTCGTTGCGAAGGCTCCACGGCCCGGTCCGGCTGCGACAGGGCGAGAAGGGACCGTGGAACCGGAGCCGCACTCCCGACCAGCACTATCAGCTCACCGACCTCGACAAAGCAGATGCGCTGGTATGTGGACTGGATAGTACCGGGGTACGATGTAGACAGTACGTTAGTACCCATTATTCGGCTCTAACAAATCTCAATACTTTTCTCTTGCAGATGTTAAGGAAGTCACACGAGACAGGTAAATAAATCTGACCTATGTGCAGGCATCACAACGTTCCTCATATACAGTTGTGGGCAACTAAAATAAATTCAAGTCCAAATGCAGATTTTTGGTTATAGTACAACAAGTTATTGGTTGTAGTCACTAGTAGAAATGATCAGATTTTCCTTTGAGATATTTCTTATTATTTATTAAATAAAAAATAAACGGTTGTTGCTGAGGTATGACATTCTAGACATTCCAGAATCGGTAGGGAAAGCAATACATAGGTCCCAACTGATGCCGCATAATTTGTGTCCAGTGTGTTGTGATTAATTATTGCCACAGTGATTTAGCATTAAGGCTGCACTATGTAACTTTTCGGGTTTAGTGTCTGCCATCTGTAGGTTTCCATGGAGATGTTTTTTGCATAAATGTGTATCTTACATTTATGCTATTACAGATGTTTTTATAGCTCAAAAATCTTTGACCATATATGAACATGTTAGGCAAAGCAATTACTTCTCCATAGAGACCTAGATTTCAAGTCAGTATTAATGTTCGCTCATTAGTCTGAATAAAGTGGTGCAAACACATTTGCCTGTAATACAATTAAGCAACTTATTATAACTAGTTGACTATTAAAAATATTTGCAGTTAAGGCTGTGCAATTAATTGAATTTTGATCACAATTTCAATTAGTGTGTTAAGTGATCTCCAAACTCATATAATCCAGTTAAAATGATTTAGGTTGCACTCACACTGAGCCCAAGCACGGATTGCCCCTAAAGTGCCGAACATTTGTCCAGTGTGAGCGCAATTCATCCATGCCCGGGCACAGCACGGTTGGGACTTTGGCCCAGTTGGAGGAGGTAGGCATGGTTGCTCATGTACGCGCGCACACACAACTTTACTATAAGTTCCCTGTAACATGCGCTGATGTTACTCATATGATAAAAATAGTGAATGAAGTCCACTCTAAAACACACAGTTAATCCATGCTTACCTTTAATAAGGACTGTGACAGAGAGAAAAGTTTTGCAGCGTTGTCTGTGGCTGTCCTCAATCCTTGGCTCTTGTCCTCGTCTCCGGCTAGTCTCACTCCTCCATACTGTTATTATTTCCATAAACTCACGGAGGAGTGTGTATCGCAGCAGGGCTCCTATCTGCCTCACTGTTTAATAGATATTTCTGCCACTGGACTTATTTTCTCCACTAAAGCATTAACTCTACTGTGCATCATGTAAATAAACAGCACCGTGTGATGACACCATTGGCCGTGGCCCTGTTCAGTTGTGCAGGTGTGAGTGTGGAAAATTGAACCCTACGCAATCGTGCTTGAGCACAGCACGGTTTTTAAGTCCTAGTGTGAGTGTGCCCTAAAGCTTAACAATGTTTATTTTGGGATAGTTTTTATATAATATATATATATATATATATATATATATATATATATATATATATATATATATATATATTTTTTTTTGTGTAGAGATTGTACATGTGGACATATAGTTTATTTTGGATATATTTATGTTTTGCTATGCCTTGTTTCATGTTCAAAGTATATTTTATTCATTTTATGTTTTATACATTGCAAAACTGCTCTAAGGTACATATTTGTAACCTATATTTATTTTCAGTTTGAAAGTTTTCAAAGTCAAATTTTGAAAGTCAGTTTTTGCTTAAATGATCAATAACAAAGTATGTTGGGGGTTTGAGAGAGAAATGCTGAATACATGCATCGCATAATTTAAAAATTATCATTTGAATAATTGTGATTTCAAATATTGACCAAGATAATCATGATAATTATTTTTTCCATAATCGAGCAGCCCTTTTGCAGTCATTTTAATCGTTGTCTGAACTGGACAGAGTCTATGAATATATGAAATAACCTTTTACATGATAGACAATAGCATTAGTACATCAATATATCCATAAAGAATGTTAAAAATTCAGCTTTTCATCAATAATACACTTTATTTGTATTTATGTTTCCTCTATTTAGAAGCTGTCAGTCACCATATTTCAACCTTTATTTGGTTGATAATGTATTTAAAAGGTCTCAGTGTATAATAGAAATGATCGTATGGCTGGCTGACTAACTGAAAAATTAATTGCTGACAGGTCAGCTAATAAAATATTCGTTGGTTGCAGCCCTGTCATGCTGGCACACGAATAATCTAAGTAAAACATCAATGATGGAATAATGCTTTATAAACATTGTTATTTTACAGGATTTCTCTCGTGGTTTCGCAACGGGCTTTTGGCTACTGGAATTGGAGTCATAGCTTTTGTCCAAAGTGAAGTAGGACGAGAGGCTGGATATGGTAAGCACCATTCAATTCTTTTTAATAACAACACATCATAACCTTAGACAGAGTTTGTAGTAGCAATGTTAAATGTGTTGTTATAGTGTAGTATCAAATATGTTGTTACATTGTAGTGTTAAATGTGTTGTTACACTGTAGTGTTAAATGTGGTGTTACACTGTAGTGTTGTCATTATTTTCTCCTAACATGTCCATGTGTCTCTCAGCCTTCTTCATCCTCGGAGGCGTGTGCGTGTCTTTTGGCGGCGCCTCGTATCTTGGCAGCTTGTTTGCCTTGCGGAGGATGATGCTCCTGTCTGTGCCAGCTCTCCTGCTACAGGGTGCAGTAGTGAGCAGTGTGGCCCTCTTCTGGCTGTGTGCAGTATCGCTGTATATCGGGAGACTGGAGGTGGAAATCATTCACGAGGACGATGAGGAGGAGTGCAGGGAGTGTCGGGAGAGACGGGAGCAGAGGGGTTACCGGGACAACCGCAGTCTAGAGACTGAGGACAGTGACAGCAAAGGGCCGGACAAATAGAGCTGTGCTTTGGATGCAGTGTGCATGACTAATGACTAGAGTATCTTAAAGTATGCACGGGCTGACAATACTGACATCCCAGTAACATCTTTCCAAGTCCAACCCACAAATGGATAAAAAAAACCAAAAAAACACTGCAAACAAAATCACCTTATTGTTCGTCAGGGAAAAAAAATTATAATTTAAAGCAGTTAATAAAATACAGTATTTATTTAAGAAATCAAAATATTTTACTATAGTTCTTGTTTTGGGTGATTTAAAATTAAGCTTTGCTCCAGTCAGCTGTAAAGCTCTGCATCCCATTGAATTCAGTTGCAGTTTACTACTTTTACCACCAATTATAAAGTGTAAATCTGTCAAATCCTTGCACATTCCAGGACCCATGCCCAGACGTAAGATCTCATTAGATGACACCAGTGAGAAAGATGTTTGTGAGATGCCAGTATGTATATCCTGTATGGTTTGTGGTGTGTGTGTGTGTATGTATGTATGCGGGCCGAGTGTGACAAGCCTATTTAAATGGGATTGTTTGGCTCAGAAGGTCAGACAACCTCTTACAAACATATTTTCAAAGCTGCTTAATTTCAGTGAATTCTTTTTAAAGCTTTACCTTCTTTTCTCTCACTGAAAACATGTTTACAGTTTAAGGCACTGTATGCCCACATGCTGGTGAGTGGTCGATGCTTGGCTTATGATTTTCTGTTCAATATTGTATAAATGTGATGACTACTTGAAGTTTTATAGAAAAAGGATGGTAAAATGCTGAAGTCATTTGATCAATATAGGCTCATTAAGGGCTCATGGACATTCATCAGTGAAACATTTTATATTACTTTTGGCAACAACACTTTTTAGTATTTTTATTAGAAAAATATTTCCTGTTTTGGTTTGATTATTCTTCACATTCTAGAATTTGATGCCATAAATTCAGATGGAGGGCAGGGGCATACAGGATACAACTCTGTGGGAGATGAGAAATATCCAAATGATGATCCACAAACCTTATTATTTGCTGGAGATTGGGTCCACAAATGGACCATATTAATTTTATGGCTTAAAGTTCTTGCTGCCAGTAATAACGGATTTGGTGTTGAAAAATGGTCCCACTTTCTAAAGCCTTTGTGAAAAAATTATTTTGTTTAATAATGCAAAAAGAGAACTCATTGAACTTTGTGCCACTTTTTCATGTGGATAATTAAAGAAATATCAACCATGAACCAGGTCAACAAATCTGCAATTGGACTGTTAAATAGCAAATTCCATCACAGAATTCTGACCTGTCTTCCAACTAAATAAATAGGCATTATAGAAGTTGGTGATGTGATGAGTGCAGGACTTTTGTTATGTATATTCACAATTGTTCTGCATTCTTCTTGTATATAATAAAATGAATTCCTGAAAATCTTGTTTTCATTCTAATCTAGTGTCTTTAAGAACCAATGTTTTTCTACACTACGTTTTAGAAAATTTTTCCCCACCAAGATTTTAGTGTATTTGTTAAGATTCTGTAGAATTTATTCCCTTTTAGGTGTATTTTTGGATTGTGCTAAAAGTGTAGGAGCTGTCAAAGTAAGCAGCTCCCTCTAATGCTGCAGGGATTCAAGAGCGGCATGGACTGTCCAGCCGCATGCTGTACATGCATAATTTTTATAATGAGGCCCTGGTCTGGAGCATAAATATGTGGGCTGAGGTGCGTACACTGGTGCTGTGTGTATGTGTGTGCATGAGCAGGGGTGATGGGGGCTGTGTCTGCGATAACTATCTGACTGGCTTAGGCCGAAGGTCTGTGATATCTCACAGTCATCGACACACGGTGTTGCTGTTGAGGCTCACCTCGGACTCACCCGGGCTCCCCCTGTCTCCCTCCTCCACACTTCTGTCTGTTGAGTTTCCAATGCACTTTCTCATGCAGGGTGTGTGGACGGATGGCTGCTGCAGGGTGACCGCTCCTGAGCCTGGAGCCTGTCCTCTCCCTCAGATCTCCTTCTACCCTTTGGCCTCCAGTTGGCTCTGCTCTCAGGACTCCTCCTCACGTTCACTCTCCTCTGCTTGCTGCACAGGTCTGTTTGGCATGCAGCACGCTCTCGAGGCCTGGCGTGTCTAAAGGGCAGGGCGCCCACAGACTGGAGACGCGCCCTTACTGACAAACATCTAGGCGAGAGCTGCACCTCACACAAGCTGAGCACCAGTCACACTGAGCACCAGTCACACACTGAGCACCAGTCACACACACAGCACCAGTCCACACTGAGCACCAGTCACACACACAGCACCAGTCCACACTGTGCACCAGTCACACACAGAGCACCAGTCCACACTGTGCACCAGTCACACACGCAGCACCAGTCCACACTGTGCACCAGTCACACACAGAGCACCAGTCACACATATGGAGCACCAGTCACATACGGAACACCAGTCCAAACTGAGCACCAGTGACACACACGGAGCACCAGTCACACACATTGAGCACCAGTCACACAAAGTACCAGTCCACACTGAGCACCAGTCACACACAGTACCAATCCACACTGAGCACCAGTCACATACATGGAGCACCAGTCTCTCACACACTGAGCACCAGTCGATTCACTCTGGGGCAGGCCAGCCACCAATGGAGTTCTGCGTCTGCCCTGTCCTCACCTCTAGACGGGACCATCACCTTCTGTTTGGAAGCGCGTTCCTCATCTGCTCTCAGGTGTTAAATGCCACGCATACGGATCAAAGATCTTCCTTCAGGAATGCATTACTGTTTTAGGATGGATGGTCCCTCCTTTGGCTCTGAGAACAGTGGAGATTGTTTAGGTGTGAAAAGTGAAAAGAAGACGATAAGAGGGAGTAGGGGAATATATGTGTGTATGTGGAAGTTGTCTGGTGTCTACCTCTATCCTTCACTCTTTTATTCCTACCCATATTTTTACTCTTTCAAATGCATTTACATGTGCTAAGATATTTCCCTTGGGAGCTTGACTCCAATTCAGGGGGTAAGATAAGCCATCAAAGTCAGTGACAGAGAGGGCGCACGGGTTATTCAATGACAGGCGAAGAAGAAGACAGTCAGGAGAGTTGTGTTGACTTGTGTGCTCACTTACACACACGCACACACCAGTGCAGTGTCTATTGAGTGTTCAGGTTGTTGTACCTGTATTTGGTGTAGAGCTCCCTCACTGGAAGGGGAGCACAAAGAGGAAGGCTGAGCTTATTTGGCACCTTGTTCTCAGCACACACTCACTTATACAGTACATACGCTCCTGCACGTACAATGGCATTTTCTCCCCAACAACTGCTCTTGTTTAGTATGCACTTCCTTTGGTCTTGAGGAGGAATGATCCTCACTCTAATGAACTAGGGCCTGCCACTTGAATGTAAAACAGGATTTAACCCGTCTTCAATGTCAGAGCCCCTCCCTGGGGCTCCTTCAGACAACACACACAAACCAATGTACATACGCACACATGCAGCTCATATAGTCCCATGTAAGTGAGACACTCATATGCACACAGCTCTGTCTTTAGTTTGAATCTATTCACAGACAAAGACTTTGGTGGATTCAATACCCTTAAAACTTTTTCATCTTCAAAGCTCGGTATCTACAATGAATATTTGTGTTCTAGACAGTTCTATTAAAATGATATGTTTTATAGTGTAAAATACAACAGCCATCACTGAGAAAAATGTTTGTTATATGCAAACAACTCAATTGTGTAATTGATCCATACAATATAAATAATTTCATTAAGTAAACTATATTCATCACCCAGCACACAACAGAGATGTAAGTAAAGCAAAAATACTCCATGCCTTGTGCTCCTCTACAGGAATATTTTATTGTTATTTTATTTGTATCACTGTTTTCTTTTTACATTTGTCCATTTTATTTGATGACAGTATTCACAATCATTGGAAGATAATGTTAGGTTCACAGTGATGGTTAAGAATTAGCTATTTAATTCAACAGGACACAGCATAGACGCGGGCGCTCATAAACATGTCCCATACACTTCCTCTGTACAGGCGTGTGCACATACGGATCAGGTCAGAACTACTGGTAGTTTCTCTTTCTTTACAAACATTAGACAAACAGGTTTTCAGTTCACACCTTATAATGTCCATACTAAAACCATACTGTCAAAGTGAATATTTTAAAATAGACCTACAGCAGAGTGGGATCAGGTGGGTTTGAAAAACTTTATCAAGTTTTTTCATTCAAAAGTGCCACAGAGTAACTATTCAATGCATTAAAACAATGACATAAATGTTACTGCTAATATTACAGATCATTTTAAATGTTACATTTCTGTAGATATGCATTGTTGCTGTAAAGTGAAAACAATTTCAAATGAAAAGAACACATCTAAATACAATTTAGAACATTTTCTGTCCAAATTTGCATTCATTTCCGGGAGACTGAAATGATGAGAATCCCATAAAATAATTGTCAACAAGGTTTTACTGACCTCTGATGGTCACTACATTATGACTGCATGTTTACTTAGTTTTTTTTTTTTTTTACATAAATGACCACATCTCCTGATATCATCTGTATTAGAAGTGGTCTGATTATTTCTGTTTAAGCAGGGTCATATCCAGTGTGTTAATTTCTGAAGTGCTTTTAGTTCATCATAATAACACATTTTAGTAAGTGCTCAGAGAAACACAGCTTTAAAATTATATCAAACACTGTCTAGGAAAAAAAAAAGAAAAAAAAAATGCCCAAAGAGAATAGCAAAAGGTACTGGGCAAAATTGTGCATCCGTTAAAACAAAGTTTTTCAAACTATCTTGTCAACATTCTGTTTCATTAAGTGAAAAACAATACAAACGTTAAAACATCAACAACAATATGGCTTTCTTACACAAACACATTTGCTCCATTTTACAGAATATACTATAATTCATAGTTAGATAAAAAGAAAAGAAATTAAAACAGTTTTCTGTCAGCATTGCATTTCTTCCCAAAGATTATGGAATGTATGGGACTATGTTATTTATATTGAAGTCCCCCACAATGTGCTTTAGTTATGGCTGGTTAATGACTACATTGTTTTTTGTTTTTTTGTTGCTTATGAATATTTGTTAAAAAAGAAAAAAAAAAAAAAAAAAGGGTTATTTTTTATTTTACTTTTAGTAAACCTTATTGTCAAATTCTTACCTTGATCCCAAGAGATGATTGGTTTAATACTGCAATAATAAAAACATTCAAAGTCTATTTTGTCTTCCTTCCCACAGACAAGTGTCCATTTTAGAGTTAACAGAGTCATTGAAGTGACACATGGTGTGAGTTGAGGGTCTTTATGGTTCTTTTCTATTTACATTATGGCTTCTCTGAGTGGAAGAGACAGAATCAACACTAGTCATTACTGTAGCTGGAGGAGTCTGTGGGACATTCAGTCACAAGTTTTCTCTGAGAGTCACTCACAGCTGGAGTCCCTATGGCAGCCACTTGTCCGTCACTTTCGATTGTGGTTATTCAGCCTATCATCCAATTAGTAAAATCCTTTGAGGTTTAATGTCTGTTTACTGTCCGTGCTGCCTTTTTAAGGTCAGCACGTCTTTGTCTCTTGTATATTCAGTGGTCTCAGTCCTCCTCGGAGCCCGCGGCCCCCCTCAGTCCGTTCATACAGAAGGGCAGTCCAGAGGGGAAGGGGCTGTCGGACGGAGAGAATCCGCTGAAGGGTGGCAGCCCCGCCAGCCTCTGCAGATGGGGGAAGAAGGATGGAGGGGGTCCCTTGTGGTGGTCGGAGCGTAACTGCAGCCCGTCGTGCGCTGTGCTGTGGTGGTGGGACGGGGGCAGTTCAGGAGGGGCATAGCGGATTGTGCTAGGGGCATAAAGACTCTGTGGACCCTGGGGTCCCAGAGCCAGGGGGTGGAAGAGCACCCGCCCTGCCGCCGCTCCACCTGCTGCTAGTCTCTGCAACAAGTCAAAGTCCGGGCCTCCAGCACTACCGCGGCCGATGGACCCTCTATCCTCCCGGGGAGATGACACAGACATAGGGGGGGATAAGGTGGGGGACGGGGGAGTGAACAAACCCTTGGTGGGGGCTTCACTGCTGGACGAGGAGTCTGGGACAGGCGTGGTGGGGCTGTCTCCATTCAGACTGTTGGAGGGGGTGGTGTGTGGGGGTTGAGAGGGGTGTGAGGTGGAGTTCCAGCGAGCGCTCAGAGCCTCATGTTCAGTCTTGATACTGGGGCTACCAGGCAGAGGGGCAGGAGTCACCACGCTCTTGAGCTGCTGGATGACTGCACGGCCGTTGTGCGCCCGCCCCCCGGAGCTGGCCCCTCGTCCTGAACTTTCTCCTGCCCTGCTGTGTTTACTGCCCCCCCTGCCCTCCTCCTTCAGCCTGTCGCTGTCCCATTCCACCTCTTCATCTTCCTCTCCCTCGCTCTCACTGGCCAGATCGGACGAGGCAGACACGCTCTCCTCTGCTTGCCGAGCTTCTTCTAGTCGGCGCCGAGCCTCAGGTGGAGCCCCTTCAGGCTCGGGCCTCAGCAAACGCTTCCTTCGCTCCTCTGACTGCACTGCAGCCACCGGGAACTTCTCCCTGCTTTTACTTTCTGTGTCACTCTTTGTTGTTGGGCCTTTAGCTGGTTGTGCACCTGAGGGAAAGAGATCATTGTGGTTCTCAAACTGTGTAACATATGCTTCTACTGACTTCAAAATCTGCAAGACAACCTAGAATGTCCGCAACTCAACCTAGAATGTCATTAGCAGTCATATACTATTGAAAATTGCTATAATTAGTTTTCAATTTACACATATCTGTTACTCGGTTATCAATTAAATTTAAACATGATTATGATATATAATTAGAACATGCTCACTTCATATCTGAGTAATGACTAATGCTATGAATTCTTTTATGAAAACAGTACATACTGTACTTCAATTCTGTTTTTGCTAGCGTTTTAGCCTGACTTATTTGCCTTTTTGGTAGGTCCTTATTTTCTTCCATTTAGATCTAGGTTAGTATAGACATGAAGGGCTCATTTCAGTTCATTAAAGATCCTACTTGAAAAGCGTAATGTTTTTTGCGATGTTGTGAAAAGTTTTGGAGTGTCAGTGTAATACATCATTATGGGTATTGGCGTTACTTACTTCGGGCCTGTGGGGAGCTGTCAGAGGGAGAGGAGCTAACGCGAAGTCGTTCAGCCCGAACGCTCTCCGGTAGCTGCAGCAAATCAAGGGGCGTGTCAGGCAACTCTGTCCGACTGCAAAATAAAGAAATAGCTTATTTTGGTGAATAAATACAGAGATAAAAGAACTTTGTATATGCCCAAATGAAAACATGCCACTTAAAGCACTTAAAGCTTTCAAATCTAGCTCTGCCGTGAGTTGACTGAATACTTAAATGAAAACAACATATAATCAGTCTTAATAACAGCCTCCAATAGCCAATCTGACTCAGCCTTCGAACCTAAAATGCAAACCCACACTGCCTGTTTTTCTAACAAGAGTGTGATAGACAAACCCCGCCCCCACAGACATAAACAATAAAAGCCACGCGCACCCCTCTCCTCTCAGCAGCCCACCTATACACAGTTAATCCCCCACAAGAAGGAGGCAGTGGGAGAAGTTAATGAGTTCTTGTAATTACAGCGCTAATTAACTAAAACACCATTCAAGCCCAAAATTCTGACATCCATTTGTAGTAATTATATAGCCTTAGTCCAATTAGCGTTGAAATTCAGCCTCTTGCTTTATCCCACTGATGGCCTATTTTGTGTATGTGGGTTTATGCAGGTTTTTTAGAGTTGGGAGTTAAATGTAAGAACAGAATAAAAAAATATGTTAACGTGAGTGGAGTTGGATACTCAAAAACAAACAAACAAACAAACAAATGAAAAAATAAGTATATATATATATATATATATATATATATATATATATATATATATATATATATATATATATATATATATATATATATATATATATATATATCACGTCAAACTAATATTACAAAGAGGCAGAAAATATAATGTAAAAACTAATTTTAGAAGTACTACGGATTCAAAAAGTTACTCAAGGAACTGCATCTTATTATTACCTGTATTCATTCAACAGCAGATGTTCAAAATTAATAAAATAATGCTTTACTGCTCTTTATTGTTCTTTGGCCCATGGCATGTGTTAATTGCACAAGACTCAAATTTGAATGTTTTTGCATAGTTTCTTCTAAGTCCGATGGAGTGAATGTCTTGCTGTAATCCTGCTCCATTTCATCATGTATCCCTTCAAAGGATGTGGGTGCTCAGTATGGGGCCGGCGTATTAAAAGTGCAAGCCGCAGAACAGCCGTCACTTTGATGGAGCCGCACTGACCTGAGAACCACGTTGACCCAGATGACGTTGCGCTCGTGGGGGGCTTTGTGATTGATGGACACCGTGGCAGTGGACTGAATCCACAAGTAACCCCCTCGCCTCTGCAGCCAGCGGTAGTAACCTGTAACCACCTGGCCTTTCCTTAGTACTACGAGGAAACAGGTGAGAGTTCACAATGAGACCAGCAGAGGGCGCCATTTTCAACCTAACGCATGCTATGTAGACTAGACCTGTGATAAAAATGACACTCCAAGTAAAAAAGGAAAGAAAAAAGTTACAACAAAATATTATTAGAGTAGAGCTAACAAAAAATATAGAATATATTAAAGTTGCAGCATTTACTTCTGAAAGGATTTGAACCTGAGCAGATAAATCTATCACTATCATTAAAACTCGTATGTCCACTATTCATATTTAACTATAATTAACTAATAATATTAACTATTTTTACTATTATTAATAATCATTCAACTATTACTATGGCTTAACTGTCTAATATGTATATTTGCTAAAGACTTCTGAATCTACTTACAGTCCTCGTGGCTTTGCCGAAGGTTTTCCAGGTCTTCAACATGGACAAAGTGGTAACACGTATGACCCACAACTTCTGCAGGAGTCAGGTCCATATACTCCGAGATTCTGCACAAAAGAAAAAGAAGGCAACAAAAACACATTTGTTTACTAAACCGAAACAGATGTGTCCATACACACCACCACATGGCCGAGTGCACTGCCAACTGCTCATGAAAATACATGAAAATAAAACGCATGGCTTGTGGCATTTTATAATAACTGATATGAGATACTTGGGATTTTCCTCACATTCACGCTGCAGTTGAAACTTACCTGTTTTCACAATACGTGATCTGTAGGTCCATGTTGACTCGGAAGACAAACATATGACTCTCCATGCGCACTTCGTTGAGCGTGGAGGGGGGGAGGGTGTGTGCCAACGCCACCAAACCCATGGGGCGCCTCACCGACCGCGACGAGCCTGGGACCAAAGATGGACGGCAGCGGATCCGGCCTGTCACGTGGATTACCTGGTCAACACAATGTTCAGTTATCACAGGGAGAAATGTTCAGTTATATCCCAGTATATTTTAATGTGTATGCAAATGATGTATTGAAAATTTGTACTCATTAAAACTAATGATTTCTTGTAATTGTGACTTATGAAGAGTTTTGTGACCAGAGAACAGGCAACAAGTGGACGACAAATGGGACTGCAAGATTAATCACAATGAAACCAAAATCGTAATTTGAATGGACCCACTTAGCAAATGCCTGCAGTTTTCCCCCATAACAACATATCCCTTTTCATTCTGCACAAAAAACACCTATCTCTGTAGTTCAGATCTGTTCGAATGTTGTGAAATGTGATTGTATTAGTTTGTCAGTTGATATTTCAGTGTTTTTTTTTTTTTTTTTTTTTTTTTTTATCAGCTCTTCTTGATGTGTTTAAAATGTCAGCTGTTTTAACTGTGATTTAAACATATCTAACGTAAAAGACGTATATAATCACAATCACAATGCTTGTAGACAATTCGATATTTTTCTTAAATTGTTCAGCCTTAAGTACAAATGAGTTTATATTAGGTCTCTTTGGTAAAGTTACTGGAATTTATAACAACATAATTATGTACTTGTCATTCTTATCACATTTACATAAAGAAAGGAACATGAGGGAGGCAAAAGTGATAATAAAACAAGCATACAGCAAAACACAAATGTCGACTTTAAAGCCAAACAGACTGCTCAGGTTGAACAGCTCTGGGTGCAGTAAAGGGGCTGTTGTGTGCAGCAGTCCAGTGTGAAATAAGGTCATAGTCATAAAACACATCCAAAGCCGGCACCTCAAGAGGGCCGTTAAACACCGGCAGTGAAAACATGGTGACACAAATCTCATCATCACCAACTGTGCAGGGAACAAGCAGGTAAGCGACTGAGGGAAATATGCACAATGACAAATACTGCAGATAAAGTCACTGGGTTGATCTTATATGCAGACCTTGTATCCTGATGACTTCACATGGAGGCCTCTTTTGGTCAGGGTGGACTTCATTCGGATGAAGAAGCCACGGTCGGGTGGGTCATCGGCCGAGTGTGAGTGAGGACTCGATGGAGCTGCTGTGAAGGAAAAAAGATATGTACAAAATATCAAAATGTGTTTTCAGTGGCATTTAGGTGCAAAGTATTTCACCATGGAGGAGGATTATAATGAGTATTGAAGTTTGTGCCCAATACATATGTGACCAATGCCTTTCCCCATTTTAGTATTATTTGAAGAATTTGGTCTACTACTCTGACTAAAACTCCATAAAACTACATGAATTTGCTACAAAATACAACTGCATATACTGTATTTTTTGTATTTATTAGTCCAGAAATAAAATCATAATAGCTCATATAAATATTCCTGGTGGTAAAAAGTATCTAATGAAATCCCTCCCCTTTAAGATAGTAGGATGTTTTTTGCATTATGTACCATTACTACACTGACAAACTCATGCCTTTGTAAAAGTTATACAGTTTTGCACATACCAGGTTCGGGAGTGCCGGCTAAAGAGGAGGTGGAGGCGGAGCTGGAGGCGCTCTCAGGGGCTGTGTGGCAGCCCGCCTCTGCCCGCAGATGAGGCCTGATCCCCAGCCGCTCGGCCATCTCCACGTGGTCCGCCGGGTGGATGTAGTCAAACACACTGCTGCCGGTCAGCTCCACCTGCAGCACAAACACACACAGATGTACACACAGGAAAAATCAATACATGTTATGACAGAAAAATGAAAGCACTGCTCTGGGTTACAACTCAACAAGCACTGTGGAGGTTGTAAGACATTCCCGCAAACACTAACGCACACGCACACATTTAAGTCCAGTCTCGAGGGCCAAGGAGTGACTACGGTATAACACAAATAAAACCAGGGCAGATAAAAATCAATTGTATTTGCTGATTAAAAACAGGTGAACTCCAAGTATCTCCAAAGGTCACATTACTATTCTTGCTGTTCCCTCCCTGCTCTTTTCATTCAGTTACTGTGGCAGTCTATCCCAGCAGACATTAGGGCGAGAGCGCAACACCTCATACAGTTCTATATGATCCCATCATCATAATGCATCATTGTCAAATCTCTAATCATTTAAAGGTAATAATAGTGGCGCTCTTGCATAGCATCCATAAAGGCGGCACAATCAGAGCAGGTGTGATTCCATCTGAAGTGGTATAGATGAGTGCGAGGAGCCCAAACGGGGGAGGGGAGAGCGGCTTCCATTACATCTGTGAATGGCGGCGCGGGACTGTGCATGTGCGTGCCAATACTATTCCATCTGATAAAGCCGTAGTTGCAGCAGCCTCACACCCTTGTCTGTAGGACACAGCCATTTATTACCGGATTAGAGCCATTTACTGCAGGCTTTATGGGAGCTTCAGCAGGCCCTCAAGGACATCACGGCGAGAAGGGGGAAACAGGGAAGGTGGGAGCGGGTGGAGGAATCGGAGACACGGCCGATGAGGGGCACAGATAGAGAAAATCCCACTGACTGAGGGGGGGATAAGTGATGGCAGCAGGTTTCTCTGGCTCTACATGTCCAGTGAATAACTTATGGCCCTTTAATTGGAGCCTGCCCCACTGCAGTCCTGTTATACCGCTGGTCTAAGCTGCTATCATTTTACGTTTAAATATTTTTTTAAATCCATATTTTCTAGAACTATTATTACAAAATTATGTACCTATACATTTCTCTTAATATTTAATACTTTTTAGAAAGTTTATTTGGGCTTTTTGAGTGTGTAAACAGAAAATATAAAAAGAGTGACACAAATAACAATTACACATTATGTGGTATGCAGTCTATGGGTTTGTATATATGATAACACATTACTGGGTTTCAGATGACATCAACAACATTCAAGGCCAGTGCAGTTTAGTAAAGATGGGGGAGGGGACCTGCTATATTCCCACAAATTTTTGTGAAAATATAGCAGGTTCAGTCTTGTCACTATTGCAAATGATCCAGCTTAATATTAGTAAATTTACCTTAAAGATATTTCACATGAGAAGACATGAAATCTATAGAAAACACTTGCAACCCATCTGGTTGTATGACACCACATTCTATTCAATTCCCTGATGAGACAAAATAAAAAGTCATTAAAAGTTCATGACCTTTTATCCAAACCACCACAACAAATTTACTTTTCTTGAACAAAATCATTAAGTTTAATACACTAATGCCTTATTTTTCACCCTGATAATATCTTTAAAATGCCCAGGCCTGGGTGCAAAGACTGGGCTCGGTAATTGCACTAGGTGCCGGCTATCTCTTCAGCATTCCTTTTGATTCTGACATCAAAACTGACTCATTCATTAATGCGCAAAAATGAAGCGTTTGCATTTACACACTGAGAGGCTGGAGTTTTGACAAGCAAATGGTCCGGGTTTGATTTCACTGAATAAATCTTGCTTTGGGCATCTTTTGCTACTTATTACATCAAGAAACACGCTGTTTTTTTATCTTACAGTAGATGAGGGAAAATGCTAGCAGGGTTATGAATAAAGATTTGACTGCAAAGTGCCCTGCCTTATTTCTGAGCTCAAAGTGGACATCAAGAAAGAGCCGCTATCTTGTAGACCACAAAAACACTCAAAGTCAAGTTTATTTCTATTTTTTATGTTGATTATTTTGACAAGGGAACAGATGTCCAAAGAGCAACGTTTTAGAACTCGTAATATTGTCATATCCTAATACCTCTAACTTGGAATTTGACCTTGATCCATCCAATTACCACTACAGAATCATCTCTGCTTTAATGCAATGGCACTTGAACACGTTAATATTACAAGTATGCACTACTAATAGTATCTATGGCTTTCTAAAGTACCTTTCAATTTCATCTTTTTAAAATGTTGGCAATTAATCTAATTGGCTGCAAAATGCTTGGTACTTCTTTCTGTTATTAGAATGACCTTGCCTCATCTCAGTTATTTATACGGTTGTTGCCATGTATTTCTAAATGAGGTTGTTAAATATATTAACATTTGAGAGGTGTAATTTATTAGTTTATGGGATTGAAATAAGTGAAAGTCTCCTACTTGAGATTCTACTACTACATTTTCAACATAACTTTTTTATTTGAAACATGAGCAAAAAGTAAATAAGCTTGTAACCATATTTAATGACAGCTGTATTGTAAAGACATAAATTATAGGTTTTACAGTCAGATTTAGAAATTATTGCTTGTTTTTTGTTTGCTGGCAAGAGAATTCTGTTTTTTGAAACTTAAGTTCTATCCGAACAACATCACTCCATCAAGTGAAAGAGGCAGGCATTGAAAAAAATGAGAGAAAAATGAGGAGATGAGAAGAAGACAGAGCAACATGGAGGATGAGTCAGACATAAAAACAGGTATAGGAGGTGGCGCGCAGGGAGACGCACCCAGATCATTCAGATGGGCTATGTGACTAGACTGCCACTGTTTGTGTGAGAACTTGTCTGTCTGAAGGTATATGTGCACGTGCATGGATGTATGGGGGGGTGGGGGGTGGGGCAGCGAGCAGGGGAAGCAGAGACATGATATAAATAATAGCAGGGGGCTTTAATATGTATGAGGCATCCGGGCAGTGGTCCACAACACAGTCTGTGAGCCCTCAGCCCCTCACTGACTGATGGGAGAGGAGAGGGAGCGAGGGGGGCGAGCAAGGGGGCTGCATACTAACCATTCCCAGATCAATTCTGCCCTCCCTCAATCCACCATCCGTCCTCCCTTCTCTTTACCCCATTTATTCCCTTTTTTGTCTTTTATTCCTCAGTGTAGTCGTGCCCCTTACCTACACTTACTTCCTCATCCATAGTGTCTGCTCTCCGAATGCAATTCTTCATATTCTCTAGTCACCTCAATACAATGGGCCATTTGACACTGTGCGGCGCCCCCCAGGTCTATCCCCATCTATTACAGCACAAAATGAATGGGTTATTTCGAGGCACTCATTTTCTGTTAATGTCAATTGACAGTAAGTAAATGGTGAATAATAACACGCAGATAATGAGTAGGTAATAAAAGTGAGTTACAAAAACTAATTGAATCCCAGTGTTGAATTTACCTAAATTTACAAAATCTGATAACTATACACACTAAAATCCAAAATGGAAAACTGAAATTCCTGAATATGAAACAAAAAAATATACATAAAAACATATACTATATAATATGATGGGCATATTTCACTTAAACTTGGTTGAAACTTAATTCTTGGCTTATGTGAATTTGACTGTTGTGTATTATACATTGTTTCATGTCTCTATCAAAGAAAATGTGAAGACGTAATAAATCATTTTCATAAAAATTTTGATTAATAAAAATGGTCTTGACTCAATATTAACTAATTAATGCCTGGTCTGTGCTTCATTGATTTCTACAACTGTATTTGTGAGCACCTGTCTCTATGGAACAGGAAAGCGATGTGCGGGGGCACTGGGGAGCGAACGTCCGGCTGTGCCCTTGGTCAAGGTGCTTGACCTGAGCTAAGCCGGCTAAGCAGCCCCCTGTCAGGGGAGAGAGCGCTGTGTGAGCGGGGCGCAGGGGTCACACACAGGGGGGTGGGGGGTTGGAGGGGCAGTGCGTCCTCTACAACAAACCACCAGTTACACCCTGAGTTTGTTTGTCTGTGCTTTCTCCCTCATGCCCTCGCTCTCCTGCTCGCCTTTGTTCCTCTGTGTTCATAGACATGCTTCCTCTGTACTGTGTCTATAGCCTCTCACTGAGTGCGCCTCATCATAAAGCCCCTGTCCCACCTGCACTCATCTCCTCCTGAAAGTAAAGCTGCCATTGTATGTTCAAGGTTTGGAGCGTAATCTTCGATCATAAATAATTTCATTAGAATGCTGATGGCTTAGGCCTGTTTGAGTAGATGTGATGGGTTAGGCCATCTGCTGGGCTGATAAGAACAGCTCTGTTTTATTAGCATCTCCAGCAAAGCCGCGGCTGTCTTGTTTACCTAGGCAATCCCAAGGCGAATTTGGCTCCTACTGCACATTTAAACTCTATTTACACACTCACGCGGCCGCTCTCCTCTCTTTACCACTGTCTCTCTTTCTGCAGCACATTTGCTTTCTCTTTTTTCTGGTAATTGTCTGTCTGCTTCTCTCTGTTCCACACACTTTTGTTGTGACCACCTTTTACAAGTGGCTCTCGACTTTCTCTACTTCTCAGCTCAACTTTACTTTGATTGTTTGCCTGCATTTTGTATCTTCAATCCTACGCAGCAAAGAAAACCCATACACAACAAGAAACATATTCTAACAATAATAATAATAATAATAATAATGATGGATCAGTTTTATACAGTATAGTTTTTTGGACACTGAAAGATGCTTTAAAGTACATTCTTCATTCGCTCCACATTCAGTGGTGGTAAGCTACTTTTGTAGCCACAGTTGCCTTGGGCAGACTGACAGACACAAGGCTGCAAATCTGTGCTATCGCCCCCTCCGACCACTACCTATTACACATGCCCACACCACTTTCATACTAGGCAGTGTGGATTAAGTGCCTTGCTTAAGGAAAGGCGCATTTTTTGCCACTGGCGCCCCACTGTGGCACCTGGTATTCCCAGCAGTGGTCTCTCATCCAAGTACTAATCAGGCCCGGACCTGCTTAGCTTTTGAGATCAGGCTTTGACAAGCCAGTACGGCAACATTTCTATCTTTGATTTGTTTTGTGTGTACCATAACATCACTAACCACCGACACAGAAACTTTAATATTTTGAGTCATGTACATAAGTAGGCTGTACTGAATTTACTGTTTTTGGTTGTATTGTAATGGCAGTAGGACTGTTTGTGTTCAGATTTACAGATGCCATAAGTGATGATGCAGGGAGGGCTTAGTGCAATGATAGTGAGATATAAAGACAGATTTGTCAGCTGTGACGACAGACTGCACGGCTTTAAAATACTAATACTTTACATTTTCAAGTCAGCATTACACATTTAGTAGTGTGTACATTGTAGTGTTTGTTTATTATGCCCCATTCACACATGCAGCCTGACTGGGGAATTTACATTTTGCCAGAGAAGAGTCATGTGTGAACAAAATCAGTTAGATTACTTTCTCATTAAATGATGCACCAGCCCAGCTACTGTGAGTGAGTGCACGGAGCCAAATGCCAGGTTAAGTGTGAACAGAGCAGACCTGGCAATATACTGAGACTCACGTGCTTGTTGTGAATGCGGGTCATTGCTTGTTTTGGCATTTGGTGCCAGGAAATTTTCTGGGAACTATATGTGAATGTGGCTTTAGTCTGGGCATATTTTATTCACTCTCCCCCTTTGCTCCCATTCTTGATCTCAACGATCATATCTGAATTTGGAGCAACTATGGGTTTTAGGCAAGATACACTCTAGACTAAATGTGGTTGTTCCCACAGCACTGTACAAAACAACTGAATTTTACATTTACATAATACAGGCAATCTGGGTCACAAATGTACAGAGTACACAAGTGACTTTGGGCAGTGGGGGAAAGCCAGCCAAAGAAAACCAATTTCCTATTGAATTCCTTTAGTTTAATTTAGCCCACAGTTAAGTTAAGGTAACACAACTAAGTGTTGAGAATGAATTGTTCTAAGGCTACAGATATGTTAGCAGGTAAGAGCTTGAGATGCTCCATTTAAAAACAATTGTCCAGTTATTGTTGCACTAACTTGATTCTTTCTCCTCCCTGCACTTGTACCTGCTCTTTCTGTAGACCATCTTATCACACCTCTTCTTCTTCTCCTCCCTCTCTCTCTCTCTGCCTGTCTCTATCTATCTTCCCTTCCCCCTTGGTGTTTTTTCCCCTCCCTACAATCAATGTGGCTTTTAAGATGCCTATCGATTTGTTCCCCTAGACAGGCCCAGTGCGCTGGGGCGACACTTTGATTGCTGGGCCAGTAATTACTGTTATTATTTATGCATCTGGGCAAAATGGCAGGACTTAACATTCACAGTACAAGAGGCCACAGGCAATCAACAGAGGTGAGCACCTGGAGAGACAGAGAGACTGAGGGACAGCTCTCTAGATGGAGCGCTGAGCAGGCACACACTGTCCGGCCAAGAGCACAAGCTACCACCATAGCACTTAAGAGGCTCCGCTGTAGTGGAGCTAAGGTACGGAAGAACAGGCGTGTTTATATGATTATATACATATCATTTATAACTAGTAGCATTAGCAAAGCATAAAAAAATATGAAATTAATTTATTAATGCAAAGTGTTAACAGTGTTAATGTTTTAACAGTGTTAACAGTGTTAATGTTTTTTTTTTTTACAGTTTTATGTATGAATAAACTAAACAAAATGTTTTTTCCAAAATGTAGTTGATATTAATTTTAACAACTTTTCTACTGACAGGTGCTGTGAGTGAGTTCATTTTCCACAGATACATTCATTGTGTCCTGTTCAATCTGTTTCTCACTGTTTCACACTGCTTCTCACTGTTCTGATATTTCATATTTGTGATTGTATGTAACCTTAGGGTGGGACGTTCCCACTCTGAGCTACACTCTGTAACTGCTCAAACACAAACACAAGGTCTATCTGTCACAATAACCAACTCAATAATTTGATATGATAATATATTAATATGAATATGTAATTTATTCAGAATCATAATAATTATATTTGATGAATGGATTGTGTGGGTATGAATTTGTGAGGTATTACTATAGCAGTAGGTCACAGTAGTACAGTATTGCCAAATTATGATATTATTTGTATCACTAGGATCATGTATCGCATTGACGATCTGGTGATTCCCAGGCCTATAGAGTTCACTCTAAAGATGAAGTGAATCCTGCTGCACTTCCTGGTATAGTCCAGTCTGTTTGGCAGATGTGAGCACTTTATTTGACCCTGGAGCTACTGGTGAAGTATGAACTGACAAGTTCATCCACAGTTATATCCAGCCAAGTTACTTCACACTGTGGGCAGTGACTTGGTTCTTGACTTTGCACCATGGCCTGCGACCAAAGGACTTGATTACATGTGAAACTTTAAACTTTTTGAGGACTTGGTCTTTATATTGTACTGGATTCCTCTTTGGGAAAACAATTTTCCAATTGTCCAAGCTTTCCTATGTGGCTTGACTATTAATTAACAATCCCTTCAACCATGACTCAGCATTGGTTGACAAATCATTTTTATCTTTCTTTAAAAGATCAACAGTGGTACCAATATTTGAGAACCACTAGACTAGACTACATAATAAAATATATCACCATATCCTCAGAAAAAAGACAATGCAATATTTGCATAGGGGCTTTCTTACCTGCGAGAGGCCCAGGTAGATGGAAACAGTCTCTGAGATGTAAAGGAAGCGTCCCTCCTGGCTGACCACAAACACAAAGCCGTCCAGAGACTGTATTCACACACACAAGCACCGGCATAAAGGCAAACAGAAACAAGACAGACAAATTAGAGCAATTAGTGTGTATCGAACAAATTACAATGAGCCAGAGAACAAACAGCCCGTCACCCCTCGGCCTCCTCTCGCAATTCACAAGTGCATTTCCCCCCTCTCCCTCTCTCTCTCTTTTTCTCATATGCATAAACAGACAAGTCCCATTGACGCAGACTTCTTCTACAACAGCTGTCTACAAGCGCAATGCACAGTCAAAAATGCCACACATAAAACAAATGGAGAGGCATGTAAGAAAGGCGACCCATAGCCCAGAGCTGTTTCAATCAGATGTAATAAACTGAAGCCTAGACGTACACAGACTTCCAGACACTGGTTTGGACCAAAGTCATTACTGCCCGCACTGATTCTAATGAGAAGTGAAAGGTATACAGCCAGCCCATTAGAGGAGGACTGCATCTGAGAATAATATTAATCGTCATAACAAGCATGCACATACACACTGTAGCGGATGCCACTTCCGTCGAGAAAAATGATTGCTATTTTGGTGCTTAAAACGGTATTGGTAATTTATGCCACGGACACATCTAGTATGCAAATGAATGGCCATGGTCTGGGGTGTCGTGCATGTGTCGGGGTGTGAGGGGAGGAGGGAAAACCAGCCCATGAACGTCGGAGAACTAAAGTGCAATTATCAGGCTATTACAGAGGCTGGTGGTTGGGAAGGAATCATACAGTTTTTGTGGAGTGTTAATTTGATTTCTATCTGCACAGTCGTCCCTAAGTCTCTCCAGTCTTCTTTAAATATGCCGAAACAGCAGACATATGTAAGATCTTTTATTTTAAAGTTGCACTATGAAACTTTCCTGGTCTTTACCTGGAAAATTCCACAATATGTCATTCCAGTGATCTATCTTATGTTCATTCAGGTGTTTTAATTAATCTCAAAAATCTGAAAACTACCTAGAAATACATGTATTCTTACTGTGAGCAGGGTCACCACATCTAACCTGTAACTTGACCCGGTGTTGGCACCTGCTTGTCTCCAACGCGAAAGGTGTGTCTAATGCCATATTGTGGAACAGTGTAGACAAAGCAGAAACATCTCCACTAGAAAAGTTATATTGTGCACCCTTGACACAATGCTACTTTTTGACCAGTCCAATGGGTAATCTACAAATGGTATATTTTGGTTTTGACATCACATACAGTCGTACTCTCCCACTGCTTGAAAAATCCCTTTAGAATATATTCATCTGTCAGAGGAAGAGGATGCATTCTTTGGCAGCCAACAATGTGACAGAGCCTGACATTTATTAGCATCCAGGAGTCTGACTGAAAATCTACCAAGAGGTACAAGAGACAAACAAAACAGCTTAACAGGTCCATTGACTTCCTTTTCAAAAGCCCCACCTCTTCATAGAGATATTTCAGAGTAGCAATCAGTACATTTTAATTTACACATTTTTAATTTTGGATAATGGAAATGTGGCATTTTTGAAGAGTAGGACACAGTCTTCAGTTACTGTAAATTTACTGTACTTCCTGTGATTGTCTTCAAACAATCACAGCCAGTACGGAGCTGTGAGGACAGATAGAGAGTAGGTGAAAATGGACATTTTCTAAGCACTCAAGTCTCAAATGCAAGACAATAAAGAAATACTGAATTGCTAAATTTGCATGAATCATTCATAGTATTAGTCAAGAGTAAGCTAATAATAAGGAAACACCATTAATATATGGTTAGAATTACACAAATGTTCATTTTGCAGAACATGTCTCCATTAAAGTTATTGTATCAGAGATATAAGGCGCTTACCTGAAGGAGGTGTGCTCCTAAGTGCTGCTCAAACATGTCAGTAGCCAGAGAGTGAGATGATCGTCTTACTGTGAGAGACCAGACAAAACATGAACAAGTTCAATAACCAGTCTACAACCATCTACAAATGTCACTTTATATATGGAAGATCTATACACAAGAAGACCTATAATCTGCTGTTCCACTGGAAAGTTGTACTTGTCTGTAATGTAAATATCTCAAGTGAATTCATTTTCTGAAGTATAAAATACTTCAGTTGGGTACAACTTGCTATTTTGTATAGAAACAATGTCTATATTAAATGAAGGGAATGCTTAGCAAAACCTGCACATGTCTGAATAACGTTAACTTTATCTTGGCTTTGGTGATAAACAGCGAAATAGGCCACAACAGTTTGTGTGAAAAATGAGCATAAGGAGCAGGCTATGTGACGCACAGCGCTCAATCTTCAACAGACACGCAAACACACACGCACACACACAGACACACACAGCATCGAGCGTCTGCATCGCCACTCTTAATGCATCCCAAACACAAGCTATCAGAGCTGCTTCAGTGCCAAAGTGGTGCTGTTTACCAAGGCAATTACAATACAAATAGAGTTGGAGGTGGTTAGGTAGGAGAGAGGGGGGGTAGGTGTGAGAAGAGCAGAAAGGGTAAGCTAGGGAAAATGAGAAAACACTAAGGAAGGCGAGAGTGATCACTTTCTCCAAGCCAAGGGGAGCACAGGGCCACGCTGACGTGGAAGATTAATTTAGCAATCAGCCGTACTTACTGTTTTATGTCAAAAAGAATATGTGACACTGGCTGTATGTGTGCTACCGCTAAGGGGAGCATATGGGAGAACTAATCTCTCTCCAACAGGGCTCTTTTTTTTAGCCCAATGTTCCCCATCCGGAGACAAACTATGTGTGTGTATAAACACAGCAAAGCATATCAGTGTGCACGCGTGTGCACGTCCTGAGCATGACTTTAGGATCATCGGATATCTGCAAGAGTGTGTGTGTGTATGAGTGTGTGTGTGTGTGTGTGTGTGTGTCGCTGCAAGGCTGAGGGAAATCAATACACGTTATGACAGGAAAATGAAAGCGCTGCTCTGGGTTACAACTGAACACAGAGGTAGGGTCCACACAGATGGTGCTATATATATATATGTGTGTGTGTGTGTGTATATATATATATATATATATATATATATATATATATATATATATATATATATATATATATATATATATATATATATATATATATACATACACATATACACACACACATATATATATATATATATATATATTATTTATATATATAGGCCCAGCAGACTGCCTGTGATGTGTGTTTGCTGAATAGAAAAGGGAGGCATTCCATTAGAGCACACACACACACTTTAAGAATACACACAGCAATGAATTCTCATGCACAGACTTCACAGTGGCAACATGCCCCCGATTAAACAACACACACACATAAATACAGAGCTGCTGGACAAAGCCACTGTGGCATTGTGAGATTGGGGTCCCCCTGTGTGACAGAGTGTGAATATAAATAAGGCCAGTCCATTCAGGCCTATGAAAGAGGCTCTGGTGCTGGGACCCTTCAGCTTTAGCCAGTCGCTGCCCGGAGGCGGGGGAGGGGAGCCCTCTCTGCTGTGTGTCCGCTCCCTGCGGGCTGGGGTACACCACGTCTCTACCCCTCACAGGCATATGATCATGTATGTTTGTGCATATTCCTCCCCCAAAAGAGGCTGCCTGAGAGTGGGTAGTTCCCCTGGAGGAGCTGAGGTGACGCTGGGCGATCAGTAGTGCTGAGTAGTGTCACGCTGCTGGTGACATGAAGCCGGGGAGGGCTGACGGATGAGTCTACACGCACACACAAATACACAGAGGACCATTTATTAAAGACTGTCAGGGTACAATAGGCCAGGCCAGGAAACCAAAACACTGGACCTGTGTGCGTGTGCATGTCTGTGTGCGGCTGTGTGTGCGTGGCTATGTGTGTGACTGTGCGTGTGGCTGTGCGTGTGGCTGTGTGTGTGGCTGTGTGTGTGGCTGTGTGTATGGCGCTCCCAGAACAAAGATCCCTCTGTAGTGGAACTGTGAACCTCCGCTCTGTTTGTTAGGTGTGAGGATATGGGCATCTTCAATACTCCAATACAGACTACACATGACACTTTCACTTAATATTAAGTCAGCTATAATAAATCAGTAAAAACATAAGGTTTTAATTTAAGTCCAGTCAATTCTGGGGGCCATAGGAGATCTTAAAAGATTGTTCAGGTGCGTAGTATGGTTCAGTGGCAGAGAGCTGTGTACTACACACCTCTTACATAATTAGTTTGGGTTTGATCACAATCTATCAGCAAGACACTGCTGATCAGGACCATGGCCAGAGGCACGGCAATCCGCCACTCACAACAGTGTTAGATGCTAAACTGATAGACTTTAGGAAGAGTGGTGCGTGAATAAGACAAACACACATTTGATGGGTGCTGTAGGAAGTACATTTCTCACTATAAGATTTTGCATTAAGTTGCACTAAGATGTAGGTTTATAACAAGGTGCTCCAACCTCAGAGTGGACTTCAGAGTGCACCTGAGATCTTGGTTGCTCTTTTCTTTCAAATTCCCACTTCATTAGCTTCCTGGGACTCGCTGCAAGGTTTAATTTCATTGAGGGAATAGGAGAGCGGACGGGACAGGGTGTGATCAGACACGTTAATTATAGTCTGACTCGCAGGTCAATTCACAGGGTCTCCCCCAGCGCTCCAATGTGAAGAAAAGATAGAAATTTCATTTGAATGATTTTCATTATACCTCTGTCTAATACATAATTTACTCCCAGCTAAGTCCAGCAGTAATGGCTGCTGCAACACACAGCTATACCACACCACCACCAATGTGACACACACACACTTCCTTCCACCCTCATAGTTCAACCTTTTTAACCAGGTTAGGGTGTTACCATGGGAACCAAACAAGCACAGGACCCCATTTCTCCCACAAGCTTCCTCTTTTTGTTTCCTTATATGTCTTTATGCCCCTAGTTTGGCCGAACCACTAGAGTCTGATCACCAGCCAACTTGTTTACTACCATTCAAATGTAGTGCTTCATAGACACTCAGAAATAGTGACCCTAATCGCAGCGTCCTTCTCTGTGGACATTATCATCTCCTCTCTGACATCCATCCCTCCCTCCATCTTGGCTCTATCTATCCCTCTGTCTCTCCATTCGTGGTCGAACATAATTTGAGTGCAATTAACTTCCCTTAAAAGCCCCAGTCCTGGTTTAAGCGTTTTGAATTAGAGAGGAGGGGCGCACTGAGGAGAACATGAAGAGGTAGGGACAGCTGAACGTGGAGGGGGCAGAATGAAAGTCACTGTCAGCTGAGGCAGTGTGGAGAGGAGAGGTGTGTTTGACCTCACTAACACAGACAGTAAAACACTGAAGCTGCTGCTGCTGCCGCCTCTGACATGTCATTGTACTGTACTGAGGAACACAGGTAGGGGGGAAGCTTTTCCAGAAGTCTGTGGTCTATGGTCATATTTAATACCATCATCATGAAGCTAAGTGGTCACACATAATACTGTCATTATGCTATTCAAGCTTTTTAATCCTTTATTAAAAGGTGCTCAATGTAACTTTTCTGGTAGGGGGAATGCATCCTGTTTCTCTCCATGGAGATGTTATTACTTTGCCAAAAAGGTGCCACAGGATGGCATTACATTTATTTAACTTGCATTTATTTAATTACATGTGTTTTTATTGCTTAAAATACACTTAAAATATTAATTCTCATTGTGTACAAGGTCACCTCTCCACAGATCTGACCTGTAACTTGGCCTAGTGGCATCGCCTGCTTGTCTGGACAGATACAAATCAGATATGTTTAATGTCACACTGGGGAACTTGTAAATATAATAATAACCTCTCAGTGGAAACAAGCACATGGCCAGAAATGTTGTTTCCTCATTCCAAACATACCTGGAGTTTTGTTTTGTTTTGTTTCATTAATTAAATTCATTGAAGTTCTTCCTTCCAGCAGCACTCTGTTCCACCTTGTGATGTCATGTGGTAATTCAGGAAGTGCTCCACTGTTTTCAAACTCCATACATCTTCACTAGAATCATTTGGATCATTTTAGCCCTGGAATTACCTATCTCTGTTGAACTAAAGGTAAAAGATAGCTGTTATTATCTAACTGAAAACAACCACGACATGACATCACAAGGTGGAACAGAGCATTTCTGAACGTTGGAGATGTAGACAGACTAATAAGTACTGGTAAATAATAAAAGGCTTCTCAAATATGTGAATGAAACAAAATACACCTCTGGGTATGTTTTTGAGGAGGAAACAGCATTATATCATGACTTAAAGCTCACAAGGGTCAATTTTCCATAATATTAGACCTTAGTTAGTTTGTTAATTTAATAGTTAATTTGAAATTTGTTTTGAGGATTAAAGATCAGTGTCAGTGTCCTAATATTCACTTACAGTAAAGCCAAAACAGCAGTAATCCAATATGGCAATAATTTCCACACCGCTTGCCTACACTGGCTGTGCAGCTTAAGTCCAGTTTTATTGCATTATCCTTCTCGTTAATACAATCATGAAGGCCAAATAAGACAGAACGGGTCTTTTAACAACACAATTTAAATGACAAGGGAACAGACTAAAATCTTTACAACGCCCCAAAGCAAAATTGACTCACTATAGAGGTTTTGAAATATAAATGATTTCAAATAAAAGGTTGGTCCTTGACGCACTGTGCAAATATCCACTACATGCACAAACCTGAAATGGGAATGAACACCAAGGGTCATTTTGCTTTTCCTTTTTCCACCCTTTTTTCCTTATTCATTTGCTCCCACCTTCCATAATCTGTCTCTCTCTCTCCTTCTTCTCTCTCTCTTTCTCTCTGTGAAGGTCATGCAATTGATTTTCCTCTGTCTATTCATTTTTCAAGACTGGCTTTGAAACGTGGGAAGCAGACAAAAGCCACACGAGCCCCTCCCCTTTTTGCCTCCATCCATCCCTCTCTGCTGGCTAGCCATCGTCCATCCAAAATAAAAAATAAAAAGTTAAGTGTGGAGGAATGCACGCCCCGCCCACCTCCCTTGTATCTTCTCCTTCTTTCTCCCTCTTTCCTTCCGCTTTAAATTCTCTCTCGGACAAATCTCTGACCACATTCCACTAACGGAATTAAAGCCATGCATCACACTTACTACCCTGCCAATGCATTGTGGGTAGACTTGTTCAAACAGATGTCCAAATTAGCATTGCATTTCCAGACTTAGACCTGTTGCGATTATTTGACCTGTTAATACAAAGTGAAATAATTACTTTAATGTTTAAGCACATGGCGTAGTAGACAAAGATTGTGCCTCGCTCCCACATGTTGCAGCTCATTGTCTCAGGCAGGTGGTATACAATTTTCCGTGACCTTCGTGTAGATGAGACAAGGCCCTATACACGCGCATTTAGAGTTCACATTTGTACAACAAGCGGTGCTCATTGTAGTCCGCCGCACATTTGTCTTTCTATTCCATTCGGAGCTGGAGACGCGGGGATGAACGGATGCTCCACACACAACCTCTTTTTCTCTCAAGGCCACAAGCGAACCAGAATGCACAAGGAAAACAATTTGCTGCAAGAAGATCGCATCCATGGTCATGGCAGTGAGAGGAGTTGACATACTGAACGGAGTCATTGTTTGTTTGTGCGCAGACTTTCAATAAATACATCTATATATGAATACTACTGCACATGTAATCAACTGGATGTTGAAATGTTTTACTGATGATGCAGAGGTAAAGTATTATAGGCAGTTAGCTCAAGATATTTCGTTCTCAGAATAGTAAAATTTTAAACTCGAACTCAAAGATAATGATTTTGATCATTTTAAAAACTCTTTTTTTACACAATATTGTAATTTTCAAAACAAAATAATAGTTTTTGTTTATTTATGTGGTCTTACCCTAGTTCTGATAAAACTGTTCAGAAAAGGTCATATTTTTTAGCAATTTTTTTCAGTATCGATACTTTCTTAAATTAGTATCTTTTTCCGATACTAGTCTTGGTATAGTTTAGTTAATAATTTTAATTGTCTATTACAATATGTATTTAAAAAAATATATATTAGTAGATATGAAACTACTGGTATGAACTGCTGAGATCCCAAAAAGACAACATTGAAAAAACTTTATAAAACCCACATTAAAGTTTGGAAAAATATTGCATTTCTATAGTTTAATCATTCCAGCAGAAGAGCATAAGTTTCTCAGTAAAAATAAGAACAAAAAAAGTAAATATAATTTCTGTAGTAACTGATTTGTAAACATCAAGAAACCTGTATATCGCAGCGTATTATAGAGCATTATTCAAATGTGAGACAACCTTCGTCACATCTCCTCATATGAGACTAGAACTGGCAGCCGATGCACACACAAACACAGCTCTAATTGTACTGTAGCTGCGGCGTTTCCCCCCAGTAATAGTTGCAATTAGACAGACTGTATAATTACACTGTCCTCGTTATGTAGTTAATTTCTGTCATTACAAACCACACCAATATTTCCTGTTTGTGTGGCTCTCATTCACTAACATATAACACATTCTCTCCATAACAGACACATCAATGGCACAACAGAAGACACACATCAGTCAAACAGGCCGCGTGTACCAGCAGAGCTAATTATGGTCACCCGTACTGCACTACATAATTGTCCTTGTGCGAACTCAGTGTTGTGGCATGGCAAGTCTGTATGGGCAGGACTTAACTAATGTGAACAATTAAAGCAAAACAGCTGTTGGCAACACAATTGGTGCTAAGTGTGAATAAGTATGCTTTTGTGTTGTTTCTTAGCCTGTTGATTCGAAGCCTTTATGGACTGAAATAAGTGACGGCATCTTAAATACAGGTTTCTGGACAAGCTAAGAGGAAAATGTTTCACTGGCTTACAAACAGCATAGTTTTTTTTCTGGTCCAATGGTTGAATAAATTACTCATCTGATGTCTATGTTAAATCTATTCCAAAAACGCTCATCAGTGTGGGCAAAAAGACAGAGAACTGGATTTATGGACACACGGAGGGTCGTGTCAAAATGAAAGAGCATGTTGGGTAAAATGAATGCAAAAAATAGGCCGAAAAACACAACACAAGACATTTATCCTTCAATGATATGCATGGTGGACATTTATGTGGCTCACCTTTGCTGCAGTTGCTGTCCCCCTCCAGAAGGGGGCTCCAGGGCGGGTCTCCCTGGCTGGCAAAGGTGCGCATGTGCAGGTAGCTAATAGTAAGCCGGATGACAGAGGCCTTGTCCAGTTGACTGGTGATGGCCCCCGGCAATGGCAGCATTTTGGCCAACTCAAAGAACTCAAAGTTTTCTTTGCCCCGCCGCGAGCGAGCTGCATTACGAGACTTTTCTTTACGCAGGTTCTGGAGACTAAAACAGAGAGAGTGGAGACAAATGATAAAGGGGGACAAAAAGTAAGATAAAATTGATCAAGAACATGGAACAGAGAAAAAACGAGGATCAAATGGTGGAAGAAATGTCTGCATCAGCACAGTGTTAAGTGGTTAAGGGTATCTCATAATAGCCATTTAGTGCCCACCTGTTGATTGATTCATAGTCTGTATAAATGACCAGAGTATCAGTCATGAAAAACTCATTTCATAAATACATATAATGGTAATGGTTGCCGCAATTCATGTGAAACAATCTCCATTCTACTCGCACTCTGGCACAATGGCCTGGTAATTACAGGCAAACTCCTTTCTTCTGCTGAGCCCAGTCCTAATAATGCCATTTGCTCCAAAATCTATACGTGAACACGCGCACAATATTTCTATCTCTCCCTCTCTCCCTTGTCCCTGTTCTCTGTGCCTCATCTGGTCCTGGGCTGCTGAGCGGAGGCTGTGATTGAGGGATCAATAGGGGAGGGAGGGGCCGTGTGGCGGGGAAAGGAGGGCGGGGGGGTCCAGGCTCAGGTAGCCTGTCTCTCTGATTGGATATTGACTCTCCTCAATGGGGCCTGAGTGGTGGAATTATGTTGTCACAGCCACTTCACAATTTGTGCCGGTGCCGCGCAAGAATAAAGTGTGTGTATGTGTGCGTGTGTGTGCGGGTGTGTGTGTGTGTGTGTATGTGTATGCGTGTATGTGACCGGGTGAGAGGCTGCAGAGGCAGACGACCGGGCAATTGTCCCTGGTGTCCGTGTTGTTGATTCTTGTCATAAAAAGGCCACCAGCTGAGCGAGCGTCAATGTGAGCCACTATAACACATATGTTCATAACTTAATCAGAGCTCAGTGCATGTATTCTGTCTTCAGTGTGTGCTCCTCCTTGTGTGTCGTGTTGCTGCCAGACCCTGTAACGTCTCATTATTATACCGCCTCGACCCCAGCCACCCAGAGCAATCAATATACACACATTGATTCTGCTTAGTTTTTATATCCGCCTGTAAATGACTGCCCATTAATAATTCCAGCCAAATTTACTTAATCTCCCGCTAAGGGGAGGGGATTGGCTGCTCTGACAGGATTGGCAGCGGGGCAACAAAGCGGGTTATATGTTGCACCGAAGAGAGCAATCCTGGCGCGGGTGAATTGTGTATTACTGATGGAGTTGTTCCACGGCTTGTCTGCCTGTACGGCGCATGGATTTCACCTTGTGTGCATTAATTCATGGGCATGCACACCAGCTTAGACAGTGTCAGGATGTGCGGCCTCACCATGGCAGGGTAGGAGGCTTGGCCAGAAGTCCTTGTAGGAAATCCCACTCCACGCTCACGCACTTCCCCTCACTGACAAATGGCATGGTCGCCATCCTTCTCCCAATTACTCGCCAACGCCCGTGCTAACGAAGGCTCTGATTGGCTGGGAATGCAACAGAATCAAACCTGGAAAAGAGAAGAAAACACTGAGTTAATATATCATATAGTATTTAATGATAGCCAAAAGTTCTGCAACAAACATCAGTTATATTGTTGCTATATTTAAAATGACTATACACAATAATTAACAATTCATTTATCGGAAACAATACATTTTCCACTCTGATATCAACATTTACATTATGTCTAGGCTGACAAAAAAAAATCTGTTTCCCAGAGCAAGACATTTCACTCTCTTTCCAATGCACGCTGATGTGTATAGGTTCGAAAAAGTAAGATTCTTTACTTTTAGTGTCAATAAATACATAAATACAACAACTGAACAAACAAGAAAAAACTTGTTGTGTTATTTGTGATAAAAATTATGTCTGTAATTGACTTAAGTGAACAGATTCATGAGAAAAAAGAAAGAAATATGCAATTGCTTCTTGATATAACTCATAACTTCATAACTTCAAATCATAGAAAACCACTCTTCATCTCTAACCAGAGCCTCTTATTGCACACTTGTGTACCAGATCTTGCCAATACTCTCCGATCACTGCCTCCACTCTGCTCTGACATTTAAAGGGCTAGCGTGGCCCCGAGCGCCCCAGTGTCGTGCCCTTGGGCCCGGGATGCCCTCTGCCTCTCACTCTTTAACTCTCTCTATCTTTGGCCTCAGCTGGGTCAGCACAATGAAGTCAGTGGAGTTTTGGCAGGGCAGGGGAAATGGATTATACTGTATGTGGACACTGACCCTGGCTAAGAGGGGTCAGGAGGAGCTCAGCAGGTCTGGCACATATCATTTCACAAATCGGTCTAAAACAACACATAATGTATGCATGAAAACTTGTTGGATCGGTTTCAAAGGCAGAGAAGTCAATGAAGGCTGCAGCGGAGAGGGGAAAAGCTGTTCAAAGGGGAGATGGGGTCATCCGTGTACCTTTGGATTTATGTATTTGAGGATTAAAGCAAATGTTCACTCTTCCTTTGGAACATGGTGTGGGTTCAGGGATAAAGACTGACCTGAACTGACAAATTTAAGGGCATGTGTATCTTCACAGGGTCATGCAATTAGTGAAATGTGTGTAGTTTGTAGTGCAGTGTAAATGGGCAACGAAGAACTTGAAATTAGAGGTGGGCAAATTTGCAGATAATATTGTGAATGTTGTTTTGACAATCTGAATAGAGAGAATATTGTTTATAATCAATAAAGATGCAAAAAGAGCAGATTAAAAATGAAAATGGAAAAATAAGTACTTGCGTGTTTAATTTTAAAGTCATTTCAGAGTTGTATGATAATTAAACCTCATCTAATACATCTAAACACACGTTTTAACTTGTTTCTGTTGGACTGACAAAATATTGTCTGAATAATGTTCAGGTTACTCACAAAAAAGTTAATATACCTTTTTTCTTAATATCGCCCACCCTTAATTGAAATCAAATGTTATAGGAAAATAAAGTCTAAATAAAACTAGCTGAGCAGTCAGATCAGATAAGATTTCCGTTCCACTAATCCTGTGTGTACTGTATTGTGCTTTCACAGCACCATAATGCCTCAATAGGCTGAAAAATGCGCCCTGTCCAAAATAATGCCCAGGTTGATGGCATCTCAACTCGTACACCTGTCAAAGTACATGAGTGAATGAATTGCCAACTGTTGGAGCTTGACAAAATGTGCTGTTTGCCAGAGAGCAAATAGTCTGTGACCAAATCATATCACATTTTCTTGCACGGATTGCCAATCTGTTCATGGCAAGAAGACATAACTCATGTGATTTACTCTGCACAGCCAAACTTCTTGATAGTTTGTGTCTAGCATAAAGTAAAAGGGAACAATATTTCTCAACCAGCTTCAGCATGCAGCCCTGACCGTCTGTTCTGGACACGTACTAAAGAGGAGACGGGGCAGAGCAAAGGGCGCTGCACCTCTGTCTAACAACTTCACCTTTGTCACCTTTTCCAGCTCACCAGCATAACTGCACTCCATTTTAAATGAGGGCCCATAGAGTAGTACAGGGGGATCACAGAGTGTGAGGGGAATCATCTCCTGTCAAATTCTCCCTGTCCCAGAGCCTCTCCCACCCACAGCTGTATGTTTATCTCTTAATTGACCCTATCTGAGCTTATCTAATCCGTCCTCCCATCTTTGTGTCTGAGATATCTCTTCATCTCGGGCGGCGCCTCCCTCTATCAGGGCACACACAGGGGCGTAATGGACAGGGGCCTCCACAGTAATTATTCAATCAGCCTCATAACCTTGTCACAGGTTGGCCGCTCCATTAATGCACTCACCCAAATAGACTGCTAATGCTCTGACTGGAGACCGGCGCAGAGGCATGTCAAAAGTGTCAGAGGAGGAGGAATGGCCCCATCAAAAGAAGGTTTGATTTGGGGATGAACACAAATGATCAACCTGTTTGCAGCATGGTCGCAGGTGTTCACAATGTGTTGCTGCAGTATTGCATATTTATGACTGTGCTGTATGTAGATAAGTGGGACCCTTAGCCTATAGGGCCGTGCTCTCTTGGCTGGGGCTCAGCAGCAGCAGAGAGGAGGGCACTGCAGCGAGCGCTCACACCGTCCGTGCCCTCTCTCTCTCTCTGGCTCCTCGCTTGGCTCGTGCTCTGTTTATTTTCTGCAGGGACGTTTAATTAGGGCCTCCAGCTGTCAGAGGTTCGTTAGTGCGCCCCTCCTCTTGGCGAACCCGCCCCTCCCCGTAGGGAGTCGGTGGCATCAGGCAAATGAACACATTTAAGTCAAACGGCACGCAGATAGACAATAGGCTGGGTGCTGTGCCACCAGCTCCCCTAGGTAGAGACATGCTTGTTTTATGCCTCATCTCCTCAACCCCTGGGGCCCAATACAGAGACTGGCCCCGACTGTCAATGCGCACACAGAGGTGCACTCATAGGACATGACACCACATCTATGCTGCCGCCATGCTAGGTCAAAGTCCAGCCAACTTTTAAAATGAAAAAAAAAAAAAACAAAAAAAAAAAAAAAAAAACTTTTTGATTAAAGTGGGATCTAAGAAACACATCAGAACACTTAGCAAACACATAGGTTGGCCTTGGTTATCAAAGAGCTTATGTAGCCTCATGTCGACTATTTGGGAATGTTTACTCTCATAAATTTCTCTAAATTTTCGGACATCTCCACACAGACCAGTCATCTTTAATTATCTCTTACCAGAGGTAAAAGCAGGAGAGCGCAGATACAACGCAGATCTAAGTTATTCCTGAGAATAATATTTTATCAAACAGGCAGCGTTCAATATCAGAGAAGATGTAGAAAACATGGTTTGAAATAACACGCACAGAATATCTAATGTGGCTAGTTTTCTATCTGGCCTTTCATGTTGTTGAGTAGTTGTAAATGAGTGTCTGGAGCGTCCGGGGAGATGAAGTTTGGTATTCTGGTTGGAGGGCTGAAAACTACTTATCATGCATTACGGCCCTGGTCAGACCTCAGGATTTGGAAGTCAAAAGACTTTTTAATGTACAATTTTTCAGCCGCTGATCAATCGACAGCTGCTGGACATGAAGATCTCTCTTGCCCTAACATTCTATATTCCATATTCCGGCGCACTCGGCATTCTGCTTCCGTATAGGAGCGCCGGCTGCGGTTGACCTTGGCGACTCTGGATCATTCCCTACCCAAGGTTCTCTCCAAGTCTCAAGGGCCTTGGTAACCCCCCCTCCAACAGCACGGCACACACACTCTGTGCCTCCACGCACAGCCCTCTCCACGCTCCTCCCTGGCCCCCGCGTGGGTCATTAATTATCTAATGGAATCAATACGGCGTCAGATTGGACCGGCATGACCCCGCCCGCCCCCAGGTACCACCATGTTGATGAAGAGGAAGAGCTAAAGAAATGGCCTGCAAAACAGCCTGTGGGAGTGGGCACCTTTGCCGAGTGGACCTTCCCTAAACTGGAGGAATAAAGAGATCAGTGATAAATAAATGATTAGTGGGAGATGGCCAGTGGATGGGGGATGGAGGGAATATAAGAGGAGGAAGAGATATGAGTGAACCGGATGGTGAGGGGCAGAACACAGCAAAGATACACATAAAAAAGGAGAGAAAGAGATTTGCTAATGTTCTTCCTTGGTAATCAATACCTGCTTCCCCCTCCTCTTTTATTACAAGGGCCTTTGGTGAAGTGCGCTTTGATGTCCACTCCTCACGGGCATGGATCTGCAAAGAATGCAATCCATGTCTGTCATAATTACCGTCCACCTTGGCCTCTGTCCGCACAAAAGAAACTTCACCTACACTGTATAAAACATGAAGGTATGGACTATTAAAAATTTATTCTCTACGGGATGTGAAATCAACTTCATTAACTACACTTATCCTGATTTGAAGTGCTGCTTTCTGAATGGCAGCACCGATTAATAAACACCAACAATGCGCATTGAGGTGAGGACAAAAGCACAGTAATTACTGGGCAGAGAAGCAAGCAATTACAAGCGAAGTAAATTCACCAAAACAATCATTCTTTTCCAACTGCACATACGACAATTTAGTAAATAGTTAAAATATTTCCTATTTAAAAATGAGAAATTGCACTTAAAGGATAAAGTGTTTTAAAACATCGGAAATTACATTACAACTTATCAGCAAGATATGAGAGGGAAAGGAAAATATTTAATTCAAATATTGCAAGTGTAAGTTTAGATTTTTGGTATACAATATTCCAAAAACTCAAAAAAGTTGCTTGTGAACTCCAAATGGACATAAAAAACAGAGCAAAACTTCTAAATGTGGCTGTACAAGCAAAGCAGATGCACTCTCCTATAAGACTGAAGATGGTAAATCCACTCCCGCAGGCTGAGACCACATCAGCACTGACCTCCAAATAACCACAGGCCAGAGCGCAGCACACAGGGTCAGACTCTGCCTCCCATACAAACGCTGCAACCAACATGAGCCACGAGATGAAAGCACAATCCAAACTGCAGTAGAGAGATGTCCACATGCTAATGGAGACACATCAATTAGCATGGGGCAGAAGTCAGAGTTCAGACCAGTGTCAAACTGTTGATAAAGACTTGTACAAGTTGTGTAGGTGTCAGTAGTGCAGAGGGGGATCTGCACAAATACTACAATTCCCACTCAACGCTCCCAGCTATTAGTGATTTTCCTATACTTTCAGAAACGCTGCTACAATTAGACACATGCGCTTGATGAGGTGGCATGAATGGTAAAACAGAGACAGTTCAAAATGAAAAGTTTAAAGAGATTCTGAGATGCCCATACATGACGTGCACATTGGTGAGTGCGTCCATCTCCGTGTGTGTGGATGTGCGCAGGCGAGTGGATCCCTTCAGGCCGGAGTATGAATGACAGCGGGGGTTATGTAAGGAGCCACGCGGGGCAGGAGTGGACAGTCCGAGCGGAGATCAGGTCAGCCGAGTGTGACACTAAACACATCTCCCTGACACTGCACTGACACCTTCTGTGGCTGTCTGTCAGCACAGCACAGAGACGCACACACATGCACAGAGACGCACACACATACACACACATATGCATAGACACACAGACGTGAGCACGACCAGCAACTGTCTGTCAACACTGAGGCAGAGGCAGCACAAGAGGGACGTGTCTACCTGCGGACCTGTCAGTGACTCACTAAAGCTCCTGTCTGCTCCAGTCTGCTAAACGCTCTTCATTTGGTTACTGCGCTTTTGATAAGTGTAGTTTAGCATTTGTTGTGGGATAATATGAAGAAAGTTACCTTTGAGAATCTTACAACATCTTAAATCATTTCCTGTCACAATTAGCTGAATGTATATTATTGGTTTATAGTGAAATTATGGTGAAAGAGCAAGGTTTAGGAAGCTGCTGAACATGAAACTGAACATGAAATTCCATGACACAACTTCTGAGTAAAAGAGCGGACGATCCAATGGGTATAGAAGGTTTTAGTGATTTAAAACTACTGGAGGTATCAACAGTATCAGAGTAATTAAAATATCATAGGGTTCGAAAATAGAAAACATTTAAAACATGTAAAAACTTTACATGCGGATTTAGAAACTGAGGTATTCATTTGAAATAAAATTAGCAGTACACCTAAGCTTGGAGCGTTGAAGTCAAGAATGAAGAAAAAATATAACATGAGAATAAATATTACCACAACAATCTTAGTAATTTCCAAGGAAATCTGTAAAACTTTCATTGTATTTACAGTCATTTAAACTTTCATTTAAAACCTGTATAAATGGAATCCTGGATGTCACTATAAAACAAAAAAATTACTTCTATTTGACAGTGAAAAATCAGCAAAGGAAAGCACCCTAATCCATGCTGTACAGCACAAATAATAGTAGAATTTCCATCCACAAAGCTTCAACAGATTTAACATCCCACTAAACTGAGTGTTTATCACAGAATGACTTTGGCGAGGCTCTCACTTTGACTGAAACTGCCAGAGCTCCAGACACTGAAATTCCTGATCGGGAGCCTGAAATGCGCTGGTTTGATGTTGTTATTTACTTTTCGCACGGTGCTCAACACTACTCGCTCGTCACAGTCGTTTTGCCGATTGGGACCACCTGCTGAAACGCGCCCGCAGGCACCAGCACTACTGAGGCACTAAACTGTGACCAATTGTGCGAGTGCAGGTGGAGGAACGCACACACCACATCTCATTTATCCCCGAGTAGAGAGGAGCCATTATTATTAAAGTCAAGCAGCGCGCAAGCATAAAGGCACTTAATTATTTGGCTTATCTGAAAAAGCAAAGATTGGAACTTTTCGCTGAGAAAATGTTAATCAGAAAAATTCAGAGGCGGGCGGCGGATGAAAGGTGCAAAACTGTCATGTGGGGATGAAAGGGTGCTTTAATCAGAGAAATTATGTGAAATTATCTTAAATCAAATAATTAGAATGTGCACTATAACTAATGTGACTGCACTATAGGCACATTTTGCTGATTTTTGCATATTCTATTTAAAAAAACAACATATAGCTCTTAAACTAGAACTTGAGCAGTTTCAACTGAATTTAATATATTTTATGTTATAAAATTAACTCAATCTGGAATTGAAATGCGTCTCAAGAACAGTGTTCAGTCATGGCAAATAAACTTGCATATCAAAGTAAACAGACTAACTTTTGCTTAGGAAAACACACAAGCATCAATGCCATAGTGATAAAAATAACCCAAATCTAATGGGACAGCATAAGAGTGTCAGATCTGTATGAAGTGAGCGCAACACAAACATTTAACAAATCTCACTATCTCCACTCACCTGTCTGACATTGCTTTGCTCTTATCCACTTTCCAGTCTCTTTCTCTGGTCTCTGTCCCGTCCGGTCCGCCTTTCCAATCCCAACTCTTCCAGCAGAAACCCCACTTGAGCTTCGTCTCTGATCCTAAAAACAGCAAACAAACAGTGGACGGTCGGACAGGGGAGGCAGCGTGGAGTGGACCGCCCTTTCCACTTTCACAATGTCCAGCGCGGGGGGCAGCACATGGCCGCAGACTCCGGTGGCGAGCGAGTGTGTTGTTATTGGTGTGTGTGTGTTTTTTTTTTCTCACACTCACTTCTCCAACACTGCTCTTCGGAGATGGACTCGGATTAGGACCCCGGCAGTGTGTGAATCCTCTCTCTCTCCTCCTCTCCTCTCTTGCTCGCTCCAGCCGGCATCGCACGCCCCAGCTCTCCTCGTCTCTCTCCTCTCTCTCTTCCCGCTCATTCACTACTCTCCTTGCAGCGCTCTTTTCATTTCCTCTTGGGAAAGCCACCGCGCGCACCGGTTGTCTGTGCCTTCAGCTGCTCCCTCTCAGTCACTAGTAAATATAAAAGGCATGCTTGTACAGCCCCCTCGCCTCAGTCTCCCTGTGCCTCTTACGTCCCTCCCTAACGCCGCTGCTGTGTCTCATGCTTTTTCGTTTACCCCCCTCCACAACTACCCCCCCTTCCCCTCCCACCCCAACCTCCCCTTCTTCCTTCCCTCTCCAGTTTTTCTTTCTCACTGTCAAAGCTGCCTTTCAAATGCTGATTAGCAGCTAGAGCCAAAGGAGGAGGGAGAGCGGATGACTGGAACAAGTGGGAGATTCCATCACACTCACATGTGTAGTAAACTCCTGTCACAGATTCACAACACACATGTTTGTTTTCGGAGGACGCTGCGTCGGGATGGTTTATCCTAGAACAACCTGAGGCACAGAGGAGGAGAAAGTCAGTGCAATTTCCTTCAAATTACATTCACACAAAAAAAAGAATACTACACATTTGTTAGGATACATAAACATTCTGACTAAACATCCCTAGTCAAATCTTCTGAAAGTGACTTTTATCTTTGTTTGATATTTAAGAATAGTAGCAACTCAACTGAAAACAGAAAGCCTACAGGTGCTTAAGAGGACACCTACAATAAGCACAGTGAAATACAACAGTACAAACAGCCGTGGTTTAACAGTCTATGGATCAATTTAGATATGAAACACCTTGAACTTGGGACTCCCAAAATAGTCAAGCAAACAACTCAGCACTCTAATTGTGGAATTAAATTGATGTTGGTATTAATAATTATTAGGTTTGTTATTGTTTATTTGAATAGTTAACTGACAAATGTCACCAAAATATAATGTGTTGAATAAAAAAATAAAAAATAAATAAAAAATACAGTGTTGTAAATTTGTAAATTACATCACGAAATCATCTTGTGACGTCCAGTTCACGCTTAAGGAACCCAAGAACGATCCCCACTTTTGGAACCACTGGTGTATTGTGTTAAGCAGCATTAAGCAGCATAATGACAACAGTACACGATTCATGCCTGTATGTGACATTGCCCTAAGTGTGTGCAGTGTAAACAGTAATAAACAGAGTTGAATGTTTCTGCTTGGTGCCTAAGAGCCCTCAGTGCAACAAGTGCTTGAATTATAAAGTGTGGTTCATTCAAACAATAGCTTTCTAGATCGCTACTGGTAATTGTTGCCTTATGTCAAATAAAAAATAAAAAAAAACATTGAGTTTAATGTGATCATCAGATGCATGGTGAGTCCTTGGCATCTGAGCCTTGGCTCCTTGTAATCAGTGATAGACATACATTGCGATTCTCTGCAGCCTAGCTGTATAGCTGCCATATATATATGTTCCATAGCATATCTACGCACACACATCCACATGTGTATGTGAACAAATAATCACACTCAGACTCACTCAAGTCCCCCCTCCTGTGTTCGTTCCCCTTGCCCTCAAACACTACTCAGAATATTGATACATCAGCCCTCCTCCCTTTTCTCTCCTCCATCACTCACTTTTGCTACTGAATACTGATAGGCTGTCTACTCCGTGGTCTGAGTTTCAAATCTCTCCCTCGCTCGCACTGCCTCTTAGAACGCCCGCCACAGAAAGGCAACATAAAGGAGGAAATAACACAAGTTAATGCACTGAGGTAGACATAAATTCACTTAAGGACCATTTCAGATTATGTCAAGCTAAAAATGGGCTTAACATTGTGGGAAGGAGAGAAGTGCGGCCGAGGAGGGAGGCCATTGGCTGCGTGTTGCCAGAGGAAACTGTCCGAGTGGCTCGCAGGGGAGACCAGGGAACGGCCCGGGTCACAACAAAAGGAGAGGGACGTGTGAAAAGTTCAGGCAAATGAAGATGCATTCAGTGTTTTCTGCACCGCTCCCACCCTCCCAGACCATTGTTGGCAGTGTGGGCTCTGGCGCGGCCGAAAGGGGGAGAGCCAAGTGAATAAGGTTGTCAAAGTGTCCCAGAGAGCCCCCTTCAGAGACAGACACACACTCAACAGCTTGAAACAGCTGAGAGCAGGGGAGACAACACACCAAAAATGCCTGTTTTTCTGGGGGACAGTGAAGGGGCCTTCCTGTATATTTTTGAGCTTAAGAGTGCGGAGGAGGCTGAGGCGTATGTGAATGCTTTCTGTCTGCATCAGAAGTGGAGCGCGCCTGAGACACTGGGAGAGGCACTGTGTGATTTTGTCCTCCAAGTCTTCCCCAGGCGTCCTTGAGGAGTATGTGTGTTTCTGTGTGTGTGTGTGTGTGTGTGTGTGTGTGTGTGTGTGTGTGTGTGTGTGTGTGTGTGTATGTGTGTGTGTGAGAGAGAGAGGAGCTCATAGGTTTATACTTTAGCACCGCGGGCTAGCCTGCCGGAGCACTACTACAGGTGTTCCCTTCAGAAATCAGGGTATTCCAGCGAGTATCAATGGGAAAGCTAATAGAAAGGAGGCAAAATCCTTAGTCAGTGTTTGTGGAAGGGCCCTGTAGTACATGTTGTGGAGCAGTGTGTGACGGGCGAGCCAGTGGTCACACCCACATCTGACCTTGTTTCTCCACCTGTCTACACATGACAACAGAGTGGACAGGCCAATGGAGGGATGCAAAAGAGACTTTTTTCTCCACACACTATATTTGGAAAACTCAAGCTAAAAGGAAATAATAATGGAATAATGGATATTAGAATAAATATTATTAATTAATATGTCTACTTAATTCCATGCTACTTTGAGATGAACATCCATGCATTTGCTATGGGGAGATTAATATAAATTAAAATAATGGTAACATAATGGCAGTTATTATTTGAGTATTGATACATGTATTGATATTGTCCCATATCAGCATGTATCAATACTTAAATAATTTAAAAGAGCTGATGTAACTTACTTTTTGTGTTTATTGCACTGAATAAAACATACCAAAAAATGCATCCTTACTCTGAGCGGCCTTGCATCTCCACAAACCTGACTCTTACTTGGCCTGGAGGAAGGCCTACTCCTGTTTGTTTTTTGTGGAAATGTTGTTCCTTTGGCTATAACCTTCCACAGTAAGGTTTAAAACGCATCTGTCTCCATCATGAATGTTCAGTATGGCTGTAACTGTCTATTTCTATGGAATCATGTAGTATGTATGTCTTTTTCCACCAAAGTTACATCCTATCAGTTTTAGAAAGGTCTTAATCTATATCAGAATTAGTAAAAACACATAATAAAATCAATGAAAGTACTGTTATTTTGTGTGAGAACAACTCTATTGTCTATGAACAGTTTTTTTTAGTATCAAAATTAGCTGTGAGCATATTGTTAACTTAACCTCACGCATTTCCTAAACAGTTTGAATCCACACTCTTGAATCCACAAATACTATACTGAAAATTAATAATAAAAACTACACTAGTCCTGGGTTTGACTTCTGGACTAAGCAACATGTGAAAGAGTCTACCCTAGTTCCTCCTGACAGAATGAGTCACACTCATACACATCATTTTTCTACAGTAAAATGTGTCTGCTGTGTGCTACCTGCATATATATGTTCATTATCCCTGGTAAAAAGATATGCCGAGACCAAAGCAACAGGCTAGAAATACCACACTGTAACCTTTATCAGCTGTTTCCTGCAAACACAGTCCACATTTGAAGAGGTCAGTAATATTAAATGACAGATACACAGTGTTATGTTTGAGGTTGAACATATTGACAAGGCGTCTACAAGCAGCAGGCACGTTGTTTCTCTTCCTCAGGTAGTGAAGACAGAGGCAAGCTCTTTACAGCTAAAACTCTCCTGTCTGTGCGGTGAATAGAAATGAAGTTATTCTGATGAAATGTTTCCCGAAATAACGCCTTGTGCATCAGACGTAATATACATATTGAAACGTTTTATTAACATGCAGAGGGTGAATGTAAAGAGTGCTCAGGCAGAATGCACAGACAAAGGGGGAGTAAGAGTGTTTCTACAGCCCTAAGTCCGGCTCACGCATAATCACACATAAATACAGTAATTAGTCTGTAATATGTTTCACCAGAACTCTGATTTAGTTAACAGTACTTTCACACTTTTATGTTAAAGCTGGAAGTAAATATTAGAAGAGAAGGCAAAAATCAGGAGTTCAGAACTCAATCAAAAATGTATTTTTAGAGCGCTTTACAGCATGACGTGCTCAAAGTGATTTCCAGTTTAACCAAGAGTAAAATCTGAAAAACATCGAAGTAAAGGTAAAAAAAGGTGCTGAAGGTAATGGTAGAAAAACTTTCAAAAGTAGTCATCTGGACAAAGTTTTTGAATTAGATGTTTCACCTGTCATTTGGAAGTCATTTTCAATCTTGGAAAAAAAAGGAAAATGGTCCATGGACCATGGATCACGGACAAATGAGGGACTACACCTACTGAAGGTAATATTACAAATTCCTGTTTTTAAATTTGATCCTAAATGTTCTAATCATTTTTACTTTAATACTAGTAGATTTTATCACAACCTTTTCCTCCCAGAGAACTCAGTGTTTCAAATGAAATACTTGGTCGACTAGAGACATACCCTGTGCCTCGATTAATCAACTAAAAGGGGATGTAGCATAGTGTTGGCAAAAGCTCTCAAAATTATTAAAAACTACACAACACAAACTACAATGCATGGAGAGAAGTTCAAGTACACAGCAGAATAAAGGCGGTAAAAGGCATACTAAACTGTCTAGCCACTCCCAAAACCCCAGCTAGCTTACTCCAAGCCTCTACTATGGTCCATATAAAACCTTATAATCCTAATAAAATAATTAATCAACCAATAAAAATCTAATAACTGGACACACTGAAATTTTAGGGGACACATGTAACGGGAAGGTCAATGTCCACAGTAACTCCTATTAGTACATCAAGGAAATAACATATTTTAAAACAAACATACTTAAGTATTAAGTTACTTTCCATCCTTGAAAACTATACAGTGGCAT